ATTAATCTGATACTCCAAAGGAATGTGAGCTGGTGGCTCCCTACGTTAGAAGTGTTAGAACGCCAATGGTCACCTGACCTCACACCTGTTTTTGCCATATGCTTCACTCCCTCGCTCCTCACACGGAAATTGTCAGATTAAAAACGACGGACAATATGTATGACTTTATTCCAATCGAGAAACCGATTTCACTTACTTCACTTTTGATAATGAGAAATTATCGACGTAGTTGCAGGGTTAATATCTAGAAAAAAGGGTTACTATCTAGAAAAAAGGGTCAATATCCAAGAAAAAGATAATTCAGGCTCCTGCGTGTTCCACATTTCTTAGTTTTTTCTGATCCTCTTGATGTCTTTGATGATAATGTTTCATTAAGGTCAAATGAAACAGCTACTTTTTTTTTTGAAATATGAAATTTACAAAATCAGCATTTGTGTGACATTATGGGGCGGGGGCTCAAATTAATAACCTGCCACAGGCGCAAACAGGTCTATTGTTCGTCGATTTTTAACTGATACTTGCGGTATGAAGAGCGAGGGGGTGTTTCATATGGCAAAAACAGGTGTGACGTCAGGTAACCATTGGCGTTCTAATGTAGGGAACCACCAGCTCACATTCCGTCCGAGTATCAGATTAAAATCGACGAACAATAGTTACGGCTCTGACGAATAGATGGCTGCGGAACTCGCTACGCTCGTCCCGCAGAGGTCCATCCATAAGTTCCGCAACAATTCACTCACTTGTACTTGAATAACTTGTCACTAATTCCTGTTGAAAGGCAAATTGACAAAAAGTGAATAATCATAATCTTACAAATTTTGACTTTATATAATAAGTTATTGTTCAAGTACAAATAAGTGGATTATTGCGGAACTTATGGGTGGACCTCTGCGGGACGAGCGAGCGAGTTTCGCAGCCATCTACTCACCTATATACTGTTGAACTGTTCAAATAAGACACTCAGCTAAAACGTGTAGTTTTTGAACTAATGAGAAAAATTCTCAACTGAGTGAATCAGGTTAGTATTGTACTTGAACAACATATTGGTGAATAGATGGCTGAGTCCACCCAAAAGTGCCGCAACAATCCACTCGTTTGTACTTGATTAACTCATCACAATATATTACTAGTTTGGTAAAGTAACATTACTAATTCCTGTTGAAAGGCAAATTGACAAAAAGTGGATAGGTAATCTCACAAATTCTTACCTTATATAATAAGTTATTGTTCAAGTACAAATAAGAGGGTTGTTGAGGAACTTATGGGTGGACCTCTGCGGGACGAGCGCAGCGAGTTCCGTAGCCATCTAATCACCAATATACTATTGAACTGTTTAAGTAAGACATTCACCTAAAATGTGTAATTTTTAAACTAATGAGAATAAAGCACATTTGAGTGAGTCAGTTTAGTATCGTAATTTAACAACATATTCATGAATAGATGGCTGCGGAACTCGCTGCGCTCGTCCCGCAGAGGTTCACCCATGTTTCGCAACAATTCACTCATTTGTACTTGAATAACTTGTCACTAATTTCTGTTGAAAGGCAAATTGACAAAAAGTGAATAATCATTATTTTACAAATTTTGAATTTATATAATAAGTTATTGTTCAAGTACAAATAAGTGGATTATTGCAGAATTTATGGGTGGACCTCTGCGGGACGAGCGCAGCGAGTTCCGGAGCCATCTACTCACCAATATACTGTTGAACTGTTCAAATAAGACACTCACCTGAAACGTGTAGTTTTTGAACTTATGAGAAAAATTCTCAACTGAGTGAAACAGGTTAGTATTGTACTTGAACAACATATTGGTGAATATATAGCTGAGTCCACCCATAAGTTCCGCAACAATTCACTCGTTTGTACTTGAATAACTTATCACAATATATTACTAGTTTGGTAAAGTAACATTACTAATTCCTGTTGAAAGGCAAATTGACAAAAAGTGGATGATCTTACAAATTCTGACCTTATATAATAAGTTATTGTTCAAGTACAAATAAGCGATTTGTTGCGGAACTTATGGGTGAACCTCTGCGGGACGAGCGCAGCGAGTTCCGAAGCCATCTAATCACCAATATACTATTGAACTGTTTAAGTAAGACATTTACCTAAAATGTGTAATTTTTAAACTAATGAGAATAACGTACATTTGAGTGAGTCAGTTTTGTATCGTAATTAAATAACATATTTATGAATAGGTGGCTGCGGAACTCGCTGCGCTCGTCCCGCAGAGGTCCACCCATAAGCTCCGCAACAATTCACTCATTTGTACTTGAATAACTTGTCACTAATTCCTGTTGAAAGGCAAATTGACAAAAAGTGAATAATCATAATCTTACAAATTTTGATTTTATATAATAAGTTATTGTTCAAGTACAAATAAGAGGATTATTGCGGAACTTATGGGTGGACCTCCAACCCAAACTAACCCGATCTGGCTCACTTTAACTTAAACTGCCCCCTCCGCCTTTCAAAAGACCTGTATCCGCCACTGCCCATCAAGAACATCCTATTGTGAAGGATTTCAAACTTGAGAAATCCTAATAATTTCTAATCTGATCAAATAGAGTTGATGCATCATATTTCCACGCAAATCAAACAATATCGAATTGTACAAAGTCGCAGTTTCCCTTCCATTTTTTACTTTATTATCACAAACCCAATAAAGCGATGTTTCCTATAATAGTCAACATGCTATCGCGCAGTTGGGTACTTCAAGGTTGATTAATTATTAGATTAACTTTCCTGTTACCTATGGTACTTCCCCATTTAAACGCGTATAATAATAATTATTTTACATTTCCATCAGTTAATTTGTTTGCGATGTGCTAAAAATGAAGCTCCAGTTAGTTGATAGTACCGCGTCTAAAACTATTCCGGAAAGTGTGTTAACGTATAGGAGTATCTTAGAAGTTCAAAGTGATTTGATACAGCAGCAAAATTTCTTGATTGAGAAATTAATAGGTAAACATTTGTTGACAATTTTTATTTAAAAACATACAGAACATTTGTATCTTGGGGATTTATTTCCATAGGCGAAAATATGAGACCTTGAATACACAAAACCTTGCAAAATGGTATTTTTTTCATTATCTCCTACTACCCAATTTAACCAAGTAAAGCAACAAATCTGAATTTTTGCCAAAAAAAAAAAAATATCTTCACCAGTCTCTCTTCTTGTTTCAGACTACCACCATCATCTAGACAAAAAATCTTCAGCCACAACTCTCCGATATATTTTCATCCCTTCCGCCGTAATTTTTCTCGTATTCGTCGTAACCATGTCTCTTATTGTTGTTGAAACTGGCATATTCGACACCATCACTATGTTTCCTCCAACCAACCCGAATACCAGTTATTATATTGACGGACACCCAGTATATTCAAAACTCAACTGGGGAGCTTTAGAACCAAAATCAGCACCAACGTCTTTACCCTTACCAACTTCTGTCATAATTATCAGCCATTCAGCTACAAAAAGCTGCTTCAATTTCAGCCAATGTTCCAACGAGACTCAATATATCCAATGCAAGTCTCTTCATCAAGGCCATAGAGATATTGGCTTCAATTTTCTTATTGGTGGCGAGGGAGGTATATACGATGGAAGAGGATGGGACGTCCAGAACAGTATAAGAGCTGAGAGTATCGATATAACTTTTATAGGAGATTTCAATAATGAATTCAGCACTACAGTGGCAGAAAAGGCTGCTTTGGCATTGATAAACGAAGGAGTCCGATTAGGAAAAGTTGACGAGGATTATAAGTTAATTGGTGAAAATCAGACCTCGCCTAAAAGGTTTTACAGTCCTGGCTGGAACTTGGTTAAAGTGATTAAAAAGTGGGAACATTATTATGATGGAACTATGTTGTAGTTGTTTGTTTTTAACATATAGAGTGTAGGAAGTTTTATGTATTTTTGCTAATGTGAGTTTTAATTATGTTTTTATATTCTCTGGAAACCAATTTCTAGCTGAAATGATCTTGTTTTTTATTGGTGTAATGTTTGTTCAGCCTGTAATGATTTTCAAGATAATAATGTTTGAAATTTGTAGAATGCTTATTTTTCTCTCATTAAAGATCCTATACTTCATGATTCATTGGCTATCGTAGTTATTATTCCCTATCCACTCCCTTTGCAGGCCAGACATGTCTCGGTTTATAACCTGATGTTGACTTTCAAGATAAGCCAACAACTACTACTTGAACCTATTTATTGAATGAAAACAAGATAAAATACCGACTTACACGACTAAAAGTATAAAACACAACACACTTCCTTCATAAGCTACCTACATTTTTTATTGGCGCAAACCGCCAACAAAAAGCTTACTGACTGTTTTCAACCAATATTTAAATTCACTGTGACGTAAACTTTGCTGTGACGTAATATTATTGAAAAGGACCCCGTACACTTCTTGTGGGATATTGGGATTCGGTCAATTTTTCTGAAAATTTGATGTAATGCTCCTCTCAACACACTGATTCATAGCCACAACTTGATCATATGACTAGTTTTCGAGATACAGATAGTTTAATGTCACCTAATAATATACCAGGATTGACAGGTATCCCCATTGGACATCAAACTACCTGTATCTCGAAAACTAGTCATAGGATCAAGTTGTGGCTATGAACACTTTTGATCAGAATGTTGAGAGGAGAGATCATAAGACCCAAAATCTCATAAGAGGTGTACGAGGTCCTTTACGGGTGACTAAGTATAGTCTGACTAGTGGTAACTTGATAGACGAAAGGGGGAAGAAAAGTGGGGCGTAACCTAAGAATATTCACTGACACCTAAACTGACACTGCCTGATGACAACCATGTCTGGGGGTAAAATATATCACCAACTTGTTTATTATTGTTTCCGTCATGTTTGGCAAAGCAGCAAATTCTATTGCAGTTCGCCGTTTCGCTAGCCAGACTATAAATCATTTTGAATTTCCATTAGTTATTTGAGCATTGATTGAAAGTTATGATCTTTTTTTTTTCAGGTCAAGTTCGCAAGGTTTCTGAAGAGAAACCCAGAGGCTTCAAAGACCATCTCAAAGAAAGACCCACTCAATTTTGGATTGCCGGAGTATTTTTGGCTATCATTAGTATATCTTCTTTGATATTGTTCTTTTGCCTCTACAACTTCAGTGTTCCTAACCCTGTACCGCCGACATTTGGACACGATGACAATTTGGGAGATGGCATTCAAGTGATACGTAGAGAGGTAAGAATTTTGTGTCTGTTTTCTCGTACAAATAATTCAAATGCGTTTGTTACTGCTAGAAAATCGAGAACAGTTTTTTGTGTCAGTGTTTGTTAGCAAGCTTTTAAAGTAAACGTAAGTTTTTACTTGTTCCTTTTTTTTGGTGCTTGGTTAACTGTATCTCACGAATCAATATTTTTTCTCTATTCACATAAATCATCCATCAACAATCGCGTCACATATTATGCTCTACATATTTGCAGTAAACCACTACCAATATTTTAGGAATGGTCAGCTCGACCTCCACTCTCTGTTACTAAATTTAGTAAACCTCCAAAACTAGTAGTTATACGACACACAGGAGGTTCTAGTTGTCAAGACTATCAAACTTGTTCCACTAAAGTCTTGGCCTTGCAAGGCTGGCAAGTTTCCAATCAAGGAATGCCAGATATTGCCTACAATTATTTAATTGGAGGAGATGGCAATGTTTATGAAGGTAGAGGACCAGACGTGGAAAGTGCTTGGCGGTAACGATTTTGCGTATATTAGATAATTTTTGCCAAGTTTCTATTTTCAGGAAAAATGCAATAAATATAGTGTATATAGGCAATTTCCTGACTCCCTACGATTGGTTGACTGATAAAATGGAAGAAGCGGGCAAGAGAATAATATCCAAATTAGAAGAGGATGGTTATATTACCTCAGACTATATTGTTGTTCCTCATAATCAAACTTTTAACACTCAAAGCCCCGGGGAAAATATTTACAGCAAACTTATTCACTGGCCTCATTATGATCCAGGACTTTATTTTGGTACCTAAATTGGGATCCTTTAAATATTACACCAGTTTCTGAGCGAAATGTCAATTTTTGTTTTTTGGGTTTTGCACAAAGAAATTGATATTTTGTAAGTTTTCTATGTTTCGACTTTTCATTTTTAGGTAGCTACTTCAAATGAAGAAATTTATACTAAGGTATTTTACGATTCTATTCCTCGATATTTTTAAATACATATACATACCTATTCCAATATTCTAAAATTATTGTGATTTTATATTTTGTTATTTGTATATTACATGCTTTCAAAAATATATGACATATTTTTATTTATATTAATATCTTCTAGGAAAAAATATCTATCTAGGGTGGTATGAGAAACAGCCTTCTTTAAAACACATGAGAATTATTGGAACATTGTAACATTCGAAATGTCACAAAAATATATTTATTGTTCCTAATTATTTTTATATATTTTGGATTCATGTAAAAGTACTATTTCGTACATCTGTGATTCTTCTGACTAGTTCTCCTAACCTAATATCGAGAATTCTGGTGTTTCCGAGCCATTTGTAGGGCTGTTATTTTTATAATTCTGTGAAGCTTTACAGACAAAGAAAAGAAAAGACAGAATCAATTTGGGTACTTTTGCCTTGCCTTTTTCTCTTTTGTTTTGAGGCCGAACAGGTCGTCCAGATTTTTAGAAGTGATTAAGAATCCTAAAACTTTACCTTTATTTTTGGCCATCGAGTCAATATTCTTACCAAATAACTACCCAGACGAGTGCTAGCTCATGTCCACTTAAAAGTTTCCTGGAAAATCAACCGATTGTTTATTTTTATGAAGATTTTTGGAAGTGAGGTTACTATCGGCCATTCAGGTATGTAAATTTCTTTTCCTCTCTGATGAATGAGTCCTTATATCCCCTGAATTCATTGAGGCACCTTCGGCAGGACGAAAAATCCGTGACTGCACTTCTCCAAGTGAAAATTGACAAATTTGCGACCACGCTGTCCTGAAACTCAGAGTAAATCTGGACCCCTTTTTCGAGGAAAGTTTGTGTCCTGTAAAAAGTTGATTCCCATCCATTATTTGGTTGTCTCCAGAAAGTTTGGTACCTCCAGAGCTCAAATTTGTGAAAGTTTCCGAGGCTTTACAAGGATTCCGCCCAGCCTTGTATAATTACTTACTTATGGGTGTCCGTAACTTATTTTTACCTTTTCTTTATCGCCCCCTATCGTTTAGCTCTATTAGCTAATCAACATTTATGTAGATTAAATTACCGACTTAAATTGTTTACTGTATAGTAGTATTTAGCTAGAATAGCTAACTACTGTTTAAATATAATTAATAATTAAATTAATTAATTATTATCAGAGACAAATATTAGCTTTTATTATCGTTTTCTTTATCATTATTTATTATTTAATAAGTATGCCTTATTATAATTATTATAAATTTATTTCCTTAATATCGAGTACTAATCGATATAGTATAATTGTGGATTCATTAACCTTCAAAAGGTTAATTTAACTTTTAATTTCAAATCAATAATGTGGTAGTTTTAGAAGGTAAACTAATGTGAAATCTTTAGGTAGTCAAATTTAAGTGTTATGTTTACCTATTTTGAATTTTAAAGGTAAGAAGGTTGAGCTCTTCCGGAAACCGTGACCCCTTGATTTCACCTAACAGGTTTTTGATATTTAAAACTGCCTAGGGATTATTTATCACCTTTCCGCATTGATGACTTTTCTATTGATTTGAATGACTTTCGGTCAAAAATTGAATGTTATTTTTATTATGACTTCAACACTTACACTTAGGTAAGCCTCATCGTAGGTATCTATTTAATTGTTTTAAATTTCAATCTTTTTATGTACCTATTTAAATTAAGTTTTGCTTTCCGTAAGCTGCTTATTTTTTTTAATAAAATTGGATACTGAACTATAATCACCTTCAAACAATTTATTTGTTTTAATTTTAATGAACAACAAGTTCGCCATCTGGTCAATAAATTATTGTTTTTAGAACCAAGGACCACCCCAAGCTAAAGAACCACTGAGTATAGTCGAGCACAATTATGAGCATTCTTTTGTTCCGACAGAAGAGCGTTAGAACATCCTATTATGCCCATGTACCAAAGTCCGGAAAAAAAAATTGATAAAAAGGCAGGCATACTTATAGGATATGACCAAGATGATGGATATCGGAATTGTTGTGGAGAATCTTAGAAACTAGTCAGATCGAGAGATGTGATATTCGTAGAAAAACTCATAACTTCAACGTTGCCATTGCTGTAAGTCCGTGTTGGAACTTCCCAGCAAAACAATTGTCAGAAGTAGGGAAGCTACTCCAGAACAAGAAACTAAAGAAAACAATGGACAAGACGGCGAGGAAGATGATAGTTTGGGGAATCGCAGTTTTTCTGACATCTTGGTAGAATCACCAGATAATAACATTTCAGAAGAAGTCCCAAATGTACCTACCGAGTTGACAACTGAAAGATAGAAATCAGATACAAAAACTTGCTAGGCTTGAAGACTTAGCTATTATGGTTGCTGCAGATGTTATGGAAATAGATGAGCCAATTATATACCAAGAAGCTATGTCAAGTAATAGAGCAAATGACTGGAAAATGGCTATGGGAAGAGAAATGAAGTCTTCAAAGGAGAACTGTGTTTGGACTAAAGGAGAACTACTCAATGATAAGAAGGCTATACCAAATAAATGGGTGTACAAGTTAAAATACAATAATTGTATTTTAACTTGCCATCTTAATTATTAAGATGGCTCTATGGATAAATTCAAAACCAGACTAGTCGCAAAAGGTTATTCACAGAAGTAATATTAAGATGATGATGAGACATTTGTTAGAGAAATAATAACATTGAATAACACTGAAAGAATAGAGTTATTGGTTGACAACGGAGCAGCTATTCGTTTGGCACAAAATTCTGAAGACCACAAGAGAACCAAGCACATTCAGATTCGACATTTCTATGTGAGAGAGCTTGTCTTAGAAGAAACTTGGAGTGTACACAAAACGTCTACAGAAACTCAAGTTGCTGATATATGACAATCTATATCTTCATGGAAGAAGGTGTACGACAGAGTGTCAATAAATTAATAACTTTTGTAGTATTATGGCGTTTCCGATTGGTAGATTCAGTGCGCACTAAGTGTATTTGCATCCTTTTAATCGAACTGTAGAAGAAAAAGACAGAAATAGAAAAAATTGCAATAGTTCCGCACCAGATCTACCAATCGGAAACGCCATTAGTATCAGCACAGTATCAGTGTGTCAAATATATTTCGTATCTTTCTTTTAATTTTAATCATCGTTTCTCAAAATTTAACCGCAATGATCCACAGGATCGCATCCACTTGCCAAGCCTCGATCAACAAGCCGAAAAAAAAAGATATTCAGATATGATGTACTTTCTCTGGACATCAGACACAAGTTTCTCATTAGGCCTAACTTGACCTTTATACCTATATTTTCCAGTAAAATTTTGCAGATGATTCACTTAGGAATTTCCTTTAGGTACCTTTTATTACTAAATTTCAAATAACTACTCTTTTCTTTAAATCACTTATCCAAGTACGTATCAAAAATAAACATTTCCCAACCATGTAAAGATTCCAATTTTTTCTTTGCAGGAATGGTTGGCGCGCGGCCCCCTCAACACAACGACGTTTCGAAAAAGACCCAAAATAGTGAGAATCCTGCACAGCACCGGCCCTAACTGTTCAGATTACCAAACGTGCGCCAACAAAGTGCTCGGTTTGCAAAGTATGCACGTCGGAGAAGACGGTTTGCCGGATATCGCTTATAATTTCCTCATTGGAGGCGACGGAAATGTTTATATTGGAAGAGGAGCAGAAGTGCAACCTGAAGGAAGGTGAGGAAAATGTATTGAACCCATACTTCTTGGTGAAAACTTAATAATTTCAGGTCAGATTCCATCGATATCGCTTATGTGGGGAACTATTTGGCCCCCTACGATAGAGTAAGCGACAAAATGGACGAAGCAGGTCGTAACTTGATAACCAGGCTTTTGGAGAGAAAGAAAATTTTGAAAGACTATATAGTGGTAGCTCAAAATCAGACCGAGAAAACTTTGAGTCCTGGAGAGAATGTTTATAAGAAGATCATACAGTGGCCACATTATGATTCTGGAATTTATTATAAAAATTAGTATTTGTGATTATTGCTCGATTTTAATAAAAAAATATCTCATGATGTACTGGTACTTTTCTTATTGCTTCTTTCTGCATTAAAACAAATTCAATGTTTTATTAATTTAGGTAATAATAATTTTTTCTAGGGTTGGAACGCTAAACCACCACTCAAAGTAACCAAATTCAAAGGTCCAGTGAAAATGGTCAGGATCATGCATACTGGGGGTTCAAACTGTCAGGATCTCCAAATTTGCTCGCAGAAAGTGAACATTTTGCAGGGTTGGCAAATTGGAACTAAAGGGATGCCGGATTTACAATACAACTACATGATTGGCGGCGATGGTAACGTTTACGTTGTCAGAGGACCGGAAAATCAAGGAGAAATTAGGTAGGATTTTCTTGAAGATTAATAAAACACTAAAATCTTAACGTTTTCTTGTAGATCTGATTCTATAGATATTTGCTATTTAGGCAACTTTCTGACTCCTTACGATAAAATGACTGATAAAATGGAGCAAGCAGGGAAAAGACTGATTGGGAAACTGGAAAAGGACGGGTTCATTACTCCAGATTATATTGTGGTGGCTCAAAATCAGACCGTATTCACTCAAAGTCCAGGGCAAAATATTTACAAGAAAATTGTTAATTGGCCTCATTATGATTCTGGAATTTATTTTTAGTGATATTTTTTGAAATTATTGTAGTTTTGTTAGTCTCATGTTAGCTTAAATATATTTTATGTGTATATCTTTTATTTAATAGATTGTTTATTTGTCCGATTGTATTTAGTTTATAATATGCCATGGTATTACCTTTGGTGTTACAACTTCTATTGTAGAATTTTATAGCAAATGATGTCCTCACCTATTTGAGGTGCCATTTCTGTACGTTTATTTGTCCAACGAACTCTTCTGAAGCTTGTGAGTATTTCTTTCTGTTCATTGTCCCGATTTCGTTACTAAATTCCTGCAGAGTTTCCAATAGATGTTGCATTTTGCTCTTCGAAGATAATTAACTAAAGTATTAGGTGGAGAAAATCCAAAACTTTGTCTTGACTTACTATAAAGTAAATATCACTTCATTGTTGCCACTTTTTTCCTCTTGAAGATGGAATTTTCAAACCGACGTTTCTTTTTTAAGCATCATCATCAACTCTATTTTTACAAATATGAATTGCACTTTTAAAGGCGTACCTGAACCCAGTGATGCATTATACTCATGTGTGTATGTGTGTGTTGGAGGTGTCAGTTGCACCGCAACCAAGGTTCATCTATTGTACCCCTCCTTCTGCTCCTAAGTTTGGGTTTCCCGGTCAAAGCAGCCCTTCCAGTCCTAGCTCCCTGTTTTCCAACTGTATAAGGGTACTTCCCAGGTTCTTCATCCTTGAACGACTAATAGCATCGCAATTCAGTAGAAGATGGTGAGGCGTCTCTTCTCCATCCTTACAGAATCTGCAGGTGCCACCTTCTTCTAACCCCAACTTCTGTAGGTGCTTCTTAAGTCTGCAATGTCACAAGAGAAACCCGGTTAGAGTTTCAAGACTTTTCTTGCTAAGGTTGACCAGCAGTTCTGATCTGTTTTGGTTGAAGTTGCCCAATAGATCTTTGGCCTGTCGTAGTCCTGGCTGTTTTAGCCATTGTTTCTTCCTAAGCCGGTTCTCTTCTTTTTTGAGGATTTCTTGGAGGTGCGCAGTTCCGACACCGCAAAATGGTTCTGGTCCAGTTAAGGGAGTAGACGCTTCTGTTCTTGCGAGTTTGTCTGCGCATTCGTTGTTCTCGACACCTATGTGTTCGGGCACCCAGAGGAGGGTTACTTTGTTTTGTTTTCCCAGCTCATTTAGTTTCTGTAGACATTCCCATACTATCTTAGAATTGATGAACGGGGATCTCAATGCTTTGATAGCTGCTTGGCTCTCAGACATTATTACAATATCTCGTTTCTGAAAACTTCTGTTCAAGTTGAACTGCACGCATCTTCCGATCGCATGAAGTTCTGCTTGGAATATGTTTGGTGATTTACCCATTGGTTCCGAGTATTTGGTCCGTGGCCAGAATACTCCGGCTCCAGTTCCCCCAGTAGTTTTGGAACTGTTTGTGTACCATTTGACGGTGTTTGCTTCAAGAGATTGGATAGATTCCATGTTCCATCTGTTTTTCGTACTTAGTTCTTTTTCTCGAAACTGAATTTATCAACAATCACGTCTTTTGGTAGATCCATGAAGTGTGCAAAGTTTGGGAGAGGAAAAGTTCGGTCAAGGTGCGTTTTCATTTGTAGACCTATCTTGTTCAGTCTGAGACATGATCCACTAGCAACCCGCTTCACTATTATGTGGAGTGGTGTGGTGTGGCATTATACTCATGTTACAGGTAAGCAGTTTTCATAAGAATTTCATACTTTTATCATTTGAGGTCATTTGAACCAAATATGTTGCTCTGGTGAAGATAAATGAATCAATAAAAATGCGTTTTATGAATTTAAGCTTTAGAAACAAAAGAGGAAATTTTGATCAGACAAATGTTAAATGAAGAAACTATAGAATAGAAAACTGACACAGAAACAAAGTTAATTTATCGACAAATATATTTTTCAGTTAGCCCTGGTAATCATGAACAAATACATAATGTTATCAGAAATTGTGTTTCCTACCAGTACCAGATTGATAGTTGACCTCGCAGAGACAGTCAACAATCGGGTTTTTCCACATTGAAAATCGACCGTTTCTTTTTTTTTTGAAAAAAATCAGGGCTTCTGATTTTTGGAAATTTCACTGATAGTCTTAGTGAGAAGCTTAATGTGGTGATATTTTAGTGATTGTTTTAAAGCTCAAATTACAGGATATATAAAGACTTGCAATCTTTGACAATGGTAAACAAAATCTTTTTAAAATTTTTGGCTGTATGGCAATTTGCGATTAACGAGGAGAGTTTTTGCATTGGGTTAATTATTAGAATAAACTTTCACCAATAATTATTATGTTTTGCTATGCCCAAAATATGTTAACCTTAACATTTATTGTCGCTCGTAAAACACAATTTAAGACAATAAATAAATGATTAGCATTGACGAAATCAGACTTTCTAGGCCATTGTACTTACCTCATAAAATTGCATAGTTTATTATTGCGCATTTAATTTCTGTCTCAATATCAAAAATTATTTTCAGTGATGATCACTGCTAAAAACTATTCAGGCTATGACCTTAGTAGCATCCCACCCCACGGTATCCATCAATCATCCAACCTGCGTTGATGATAACGAATCAGAATGTTCATCAGACAATGAAAATTACGTCATTCAACCCCAAGAACCACCCTATAGTTTTGCCAATGCTTTGGTGCAAGCTTTGGGACATCCGGACGGAGATGCCATACCACAAATTGGGAAGATTCAAGTTGAAAACTCCAGCGATGTGCATTTCGGAGATAAAAACTTTTATCAGGGACCGGTGACGATTAGGCAAATCGTCTATTCAAATGGTGATACTAATTTGAAAGCTGATAAAAATGATAAGACTGAAGTTAATTTAGGTTATGACATAAGTGATGGAGACAATTTTGAGGCTAGTGAAAGGAAGGACAATATTAATAATAGTGGTGCAGGATCAGTACCAGATAGAAAATGTGATGCTTCTAGTTTTAGAAAAGGTTTTGTATTTAATTGTTATAGTTTTGGTGATCAATCAAAGTACTTTTTCCAGGAATTTCTTGGCTTAAAGATTCCAAATACCGCTCAATACAAATAGGAGCTGCTTTGGGATTGGCTACAGTTTTACTTATCGTTTTGGCTATAGTGCTACTCCTACATACCCACCCAGGTAATTTCCAGAAAAAAAATAATAATGAGCCAGACGTTATAAGGCCTATTGGATACGACCCAGGTAATCAGAGTTAAATTACATGGCTGTGACATGTAAAAACCCACTTTACTAACAAGTACCACTTTTTACATAATCCAGTGATCATTATCGCGTTCACTCAAGTTTTTACATCAAGTCTCCTATTCACACTGACTGACTAAATGCGTTTCACATACAAAAACCTTTATTTCGAGACTTAGGTATCTAGAATTCGTAAATGCCAGTTTACATAAATAACACTCCTCTCAATTACTTCAGATATAACAGATGTCAGCCAAATCAAAAACCGACTGCGCATGATCTCAAGAGCTGAATGGCTCGCCCAGCCACCAACCAATGATACTACGCCACTGGTAACACCAGTGCAGTACGTCATTATCCATCATACTGCAACTGAAAATTGTTCTTCACAATCTCAGTGCGTCTTTTATGTCAGGTAAGAATTCACATTCAAAAACCCAGATAATAATAACGAATTGGCTTTTTATAGACAAATTCAAACCTACCACATCGAAAGCAGAGGTTGGTACGATATCGGTTACAATTTCCTGGTAGGAGGCGACGGAGCTGCCTACGAAGGTAGAGGTTGGATAGTTGAAGGTGCACATACATTAGGGTGGGTGAATAAAAATAAAAATGTCGCATAGTAATAGGGACTTGTTTTAGATGGAACTCTAAAAGTATCGGCATAGCCTTCGTGGGTACTTTCCTCAGCAAGGTTCCTCCCGATATTCAAATCCTGACTTGTAAGAGAGTGATCGAAAGAGGAGTGGAGCTGGGATATATTCGGAAAGACTATAAACTATTGGGCGCCAGGCAATTGTTCGCTACTGAAAGTCCTGGGATTGCTTTGCTAGAAAACTTGAAAACTTGGGATCATTGGGTTAAAGAACCTTAAAATGAAATTGACGATTTTTATATTTTTTGCTACTCCCTCTGTATAATAAGATAAGCATTCTAGATAGATTTCTATACATCAAATTTGCCAGACAGAGAAGAGATTGGGTCAGTTTTAATACTTGGAAACACTGGCCTAATCTCTTCTTCAGACTCGATAGTGACAGTTCGGCATATACCTACTACAAAGCTTCCTTTTTAGTTGACTAAACTGTTGATACAAATATTTTCAGTTATTTCATAATTAAGTTGTAAAGAGAAGTTAGTGAACACGAAATACAAAATGTTCTTCTCTCCTGAATATTATTATTGTTTTATTTCTTCTGTAGATGTCTGTTTCATAATGTGAAAAGTGAAGTCTCTATTTTTTAATGTACTCTCATGAGCAGTGGCGACGCCAGGGTTTTATGTTAGGGGGGCCAGACTGGGGCAGAAAAATTCAGGGGTGGCACTTGTTTTTGGTTTATTGCTTTGCTTTGGTACGAGTTTGGTACCCTATTTGCATCAATTTATATCACCCATGTCAAAAAAGATATGTATATTGAGGTAATAGAAATCAGAGAATTCATTCTCTCCTTCTTTCTTCTTTGGAATAAATAAATGAGAAGTACCTGCCGACACTAAGAGCCAGTTTCACAAACAGCAGTAACCCACAATATATCTGTTGCAGAATGTGTGGTTGAGCCACAAACATTGGTCAAGCATCAGAAAACTAGAAAACTAAAGACAATCCTCATTTTGCAAACTTGTGGTTAACCCGCAACTATTAGCTTGATAAGCAGTGCAGGTTACCACCAATCAACGACGTAGCTATAGCTTTCACATGGGGGCGGGGTTAGAGCAGTAATGGCCGCTCATGTTCTATGCTGGAAAGGGTTGCAATTTTAGACCAGACGATGGATAGGTGACCAGGCGTAGCATAGTCAGGGCTGTTTCGAGTACAGGCAAAATGTACTCGGCTACCGGGTACAAGTACTTAGCGTAGAATGTTCTCGAGTACAGAGTACAATTACGACTATTCAATACCCAAATATTCAAAGTACCATGTACATTTATGAATACATTATAATACCACCTTGCATTCCTACCCAATGATGTCATAGGTACAAGTTATTACGCAACGTCCTCTTTTAAACAGCCTTGATCTATCATGGAAATCTAATGAATCCTCATAGGCTGCAAGCGCTGAGGTAGCTGCGAACTTAGCATTGCACATGGGTTATGACGTCACCTCCCCTTTCAAACTTACGTCACATTTCCCGAAATTTGCCATCAAACCGCCGGTATAGATGTTCACACATCAAAAATTGAAAAACACATTTTGGTTTACTAAATGAATTAAGCAATTTTGAAGTTTGATTTGGTTATCCAGAGTCCAGAGTTTATAAGGACTCGGATATAACTGCACAAATTATAATGTATACCTAATTATATATCCTGAACCAGAATTAAATAATCTTTAAGATAGAAAAAGATTCAATTCTCTATCTTAAACACTTCTGGAGATATTGAGGCTCAAAGTCAAAACTTTGTCTCAAATTTCACAAAAGATTCAAAGCTGATTTTCTTGAAAAGGAAGCCCTTAGTTTCGGAGTCTCAAAGAACCTTTTTTATAGCCTTTCTGAGGAGCTACTATTGAGCAAAATATTTATGCCGATAGCTTCACTGGTTTCCAAAATATGGTTCTTTGAAATATTTGAAAATCAAATTCCCCTTTGTAAAAATTCGAATTTTTAAATTTTTGGATTTTGCAATTTTTGACTTCACCAATCGAAAGAGGAGGTGAAAATTAGTGGAAAATCATTTACGCATCTTTGTTTTTTAAGTTTTAGGGCTTGTAAGAAAATAAAAACCGTTTTCCACATTTTGGGCCCAGAAAATTTCAATAATGAGACATTCAGGACTATGATGTATCCTGTCCTGTTATTTTAACGGCTGCGTTAAGGCTCAACATCTATTTCCGTCTATATTTTGGCGTATATGATAAACAGTGACATAAATTAACGGTGCTGTTAAAATAACAGAAAATGATACATCAGATTGTCTCACAAAATCGCTCATTTCATTACTCTGTTATTATTGCAACAAATATAATGTAAAATCATATATTCTGAATCAAAATTAAATTATCTTTAAGATAGAATAAGATTCAATTCTCTATCTTAAATACTTCTGGAGATATTGAGGCTCAAAGTCAAAACTTTGTCTCAAATTTCACAAAGGTTCAAAGCTCGAAAATGAAGCCCTTGGGTTCGGAGTCTTTAGTGAAAATTTCAGCTTTCTATTTATAATGGAAAAAAAGTTATGACCTTTCAAAGTTTTCCAAAATCTAAATCATAAGATGTGCTTTATGGGTTTGCAATTGGGTTGCTTATGACCGTGTTTGGGTTGTGCTTCAAGGTAGCTTTTGATAATTATTGTAAAAGGAAATCAGAATTTCCAAATTTATGGCCACAGACACAATGTCACAGTGCACAGAAAAGTTCAAAATTTTCATTTGCAAATCACAACGATCAATGGAACGCATGCTAAGCATCTGATGCTAAACAAGAAATGGCTAAAAATTGGTCTTATCGTAACCGTAACATAATAGGTCTGTTCCAACACAGCAGGAAACCGTACAATTTATCTTCATGATTCTGCGCAAACTGTAAAATTTGCGCGTAGAAACCGAAATTTGTTCACTAAGTGGTTTCGAAACCGTTCATGGGACGGTTTTTGACATGTTGGAAGAGATCTAATGTCAGATCTCAAGTTGTCTTGAAATGTACTTGTGGCCAAATAAATATGTATTTAGTTAGAGTCCAATAATTTTACTCAGCAACTGCAAATGTATTCGAAAACAATGAAAATACCCGGGTATAACAAATGTATTTAAGTAAAAACGCATATACGCGGGTATTTTGAAAATTACTCAGTATAATAAAAAGTACCGGGTAGGTACCTATTTTCTATATTCTTAAGCAGTCCAAGTACGAGTAGAAGTACGCGATTCAGAAAGTATCTTGGCCTGAGTACCGAGTAACTAAAAATATACTTAGAGTACAAGTGAAGAGTACTCGTACCGTACCCGAGTACCGCACAGCTCTGAAGCCCATCAGGATATCGTCAAAGGCGAATTTTTTTTCGGGTGCCTCGCCCAGAAACCTTCATTTTTCTTCAATGAAAATAATTTATTCAGTTCAATGGGGGGGGGGGGGGGGGGGGTTCGAACCCCTAAAACCTCCCCCTTACGTACGTCCTTGCCACCAATTATTCTGAAACTGTGCCTAAAATGTTTAGGGGAATCCCAGGAAAGCGGAAGCAGCGTTGCCTGTACCCATCGAATACCCAATTAACCAGCAGAGGCTGCGGATGTTACATTGCATTGTTGCCCATGTATGCATTGTCCGTATAGGCTGATTCAGCAGACGAGGCTGCCGCTCCGCTAAAATCTCAATTGTGTGATTTAGTAGTAGGGTAATAAGTAAATGGTCTAGTGGGTAGGGTTCTGCTACGCTACGCGGCTCAAATTTATCGCAGATTGCAGAGAAGTCAACATATTCTCATATTTTCGATGTATAGGTTTTTGCCATAAGGGCTAAATTTCAGGAGGGGCCCCGGCCACCTCTGGCCCTCCCCTGGCGGCGCCACTGCTCATAAGTTTGTGAATCACAAATGATGATATTCCACCACAACACACAAGACTAAATTTCCTCAAAATAAAACACAATTTTAAACATATTATCACATTTTTTATATTTCTGATCATGTCAACATTTCCAATTTTTTTTTGATATGTTTCTAGAAAATCTCATAGAGTCAGATGAAAGCATTTCAGAGGTAGCGCACCTGTTTCAAATAAATCCTTTTATTATATTTTCTAACATGTCATCACAACAGACTGAGAAACAACATAAATATTTAATTATACTATAGGTATATCATTTCTATTGTGATGCTAAATCTTTACATTTTGTACCATTCTGATCACAACCATAAACTACAATTTGCAGTTTGTGTTTCATAATAAACAAATCACAAGAAAAATTTTGAAAATATGCATCATTTTTTCAACCTCCAGTAAAATATTTGTTCCAAATATTGCTATAAACCCTCTTATTGCCTCCTTGTTTGCATTGGACCTCTCTTTTTGCTCCTATAATTATTATGGAAATTTGAATATTTTAATGAAAGCTGAAAAATGTTTATGTATTTGATTTTGTTCAATAACTTTAAATCTTTGATCAACAAAAAGATATTGAGATTTTCTTTTCTCTTCTTATTGTTGTTTTGTACTATCATTCATTGATTTTTAATATTTTTTTTTTTCGAAAATCACACTTAATTGAATAAAGTCACATCCAGACCGAACGGTTTTGTTCCTATTCATTTCCACACAAGGTTTTGTTTGAATTTTTAAGTCTGTTAGATCTGGATGCAATTAATAATAACCTAATCGTCCTATATACACCGAACATAAGAAATATCTTATTAGATTTTTTTTTTATACAAATATTTATTTTTGATATGGTTTGGTTGTTTTGAGAATTGGCGATTTTTCTTTTTTTTTGCTTGAAAATGTACACATACAATAGTCTTAAATGCTAGCGAGTATAATATTTTGATTCTAAACACAAAGAAGGAGTTTCATTTTACTTTGTGCACAACATGATAAAAAGATTGTCAAAAAGTGTTTTTTCATAAAATAGAATTATAGTCCTAGAAAAAGTACTTACAGTTAGGTTTTAAAAAAATATTTCGAGTCGGTTTGCAAAAGCAAGTAACCAGGCTTGTGTATTTTTTGAATGCTTCAAGAGAAGTTTTCATCAACAGAGTCTTATTTCAAAATAACGCTGAATGTTCAACATTCTTAAATATATTATTTGCGTCCAAAGTTGATATTTTTGCAAACCCTCAAAGTGTATAAAGATTGTGCTATCTGTTTTCACTGATATAAAAAGTGTTATTACAATCATTTCAAAATCTACCTTTCTCATAATATTTCTAAAACCGATAAGTAACGTACAGAAGAAATAGATATACAAGAAATATGTTTAAGTCTTTTGATTCAATTTTCAAATTATTTGAATTTGAAATATGAGAAATATTAATATAAATTGACTAGAAACAAATTATAATACATTTTAAATAAATACTAGCTAAATTAAAAATCGCTGATTTTATTTAGCTGAGAGTGGGTATGGCAAATAGCAAATGGCAAATATTTACTTGCACCATCAGCACCCTAGAAATTGTATAAGGCAAAGTGATACCGTATGTCCTTTGATGAAAGCTGATTAGTATCAAAGTTCAAGAACTCTGTTGTTCTAGTTAGTTTGGCAAACTGATTCGAATTGCGCGATTTCAAACATGGTTATCGGAGTTGGAAAAAAAAAACAACCGGGCGAATTCACCAATCCAATTCAGGAGAATTAATCCCAAGCGCCAGCACCGTGGAAGCCAAAAAAATTGATACAAAGCGAGTTCACCGTTCACCAGAAACCAGAATTTCACATCCACATAACAGTACTCCAGACGGTAACAAGCGCCCACGTTCAGCCAGTATGTGAAGAAGGCTCGGCCCGGGACGTTGCTACGGATGAAAGTATCGAAATAATCCATTCCAAGTTCCCTAACAAGTGCTTCACACACATACGCTACAGTAGGCAGTAGTTGAGGCCGTCAACAAATTACCGAAGGGCGAAGACGGTCCGCAGGTTAGGTTTCATGTTCCAGAGCTGCTCTCATAGGCCTGGATAGCCACAAATAACCTTCGCGAACGAGAAAAGCCTTAGATGGCCGGAGAAGGCGTCTGCATCCATGGGAAGGAGCCAAAGCAAATTTCCTCAGAGTAAAGGACCTCCTGAAGCCACAAATGTGTGGCGCATTTACCGGACGATACGTCTAACGAAAGGCTGAAGCCGCAGGAAGCACTTCTAAAGTTGAGAAGGATGAACCATGACCTGAACACCCAACAATGAACATTCGAAAATTATACCCAAATCGGTGCGCAAACCCACTAAATAAAAAAACCACTGTCAGCATGAGAGAACCCTACAACCCATAGCCAACCATGGTCAAAATAGCGGGAGTGCCCTTTTTATTTTCTTTATTTTCTCTATTTTTTTTTCTATAATATCTTTATTTTGAGGTTACAATTTTCTTTGCTAGTTTACAAATTAGGGTCTGCATCTCTGTCCTTATCCATGTCTGTGTCTTTCACTGCCACGTCTGCCCATTTGTTTATTTTAAGTATCTGTTCTGTCAATATCCTGTTGTCCTGTCTGAGGGTTATTCGAAAGTCTCCGTACTCCGCAAGAATCTAGTCCCTAATCGCTCATCTTTCATCGAGGCTACATACCTCTCTGACATGCTGGGCATCCTCCATCAGGTTATGATTGCAAGTGCATGTCCCTGTCGTTTGGCGGAGCTTGAACCAGTATATCGGCTTCCCTGTTCCTTGGGTTTGTGTTACAGTGCCCTTTTTTCCATTGGTATTTTATACTCCTTCCGTGTTCGATATGTTCTTCTGTCCTTCTTAGTATGTGTGCAGTTAACTTATCTCTGATGGGTCCATTGTTAAGGAGATCGATTGCCTGCCTTCTTTCCATTATTATCAGAAGGTTTGCGTCTGGTATCTGGATCTGGATACAGTGGTGTGAAACCCAGTACCTGCAGTGCGCTATTAGGCGTAGGCTCTGCAGGTCATTAGCAGCATTGGTCTGACCGCAGCATCCATATGCCTCCTCCTAAAGGCTGTGGTAGCCCTGTCTCCCCACATCTCGCTAGCATATAGAACGACCGGTTTGAGAACTTTATCGAGTATCTTTCTGATAACGACTCTGCTGTGGCCCCACTTTCGCCTGATCATTCCTGTGATGTTCATAGCCGCTTTTGATACTTTAACTCTGACGGTTCTCATATGCTAGATGTAGCTTCTTTGCGGTCTATGTTTACTCCAAGGTACTTAACATATTCTCGCAGGACAACATTCTTCCCGTTTATTTTGAGGCTAGGCCCTCTCATATCATTATTGTGGGGCATGAAAAGCATCTTGGTTTTTCCCTTGTACCTTACATCACTTCTCTCCTTCCAGTGTTTGCACGCTTCCCATACCGTGTTTTATTTCTGTTCCATCCTCCCAGGCTCAAGCGCCCCCGGCTATCAGACACCTCTACTACGTAAATGGTCCCCAGATTCAGAAGCAGCATGTTATTATTGCAATAAAATTAATGCACCTGTTTATTAGCAATACCCACCTCACAGCTTCAGAGCAATGCCCACCCCTACTATGTCAAAAAGCTTCTACTCTGAAGAGGTACCTCTTTCCAAATCCCCTCACTTACTTGAAAACTAAAGAATATTTAACCAATTTTTCCATTTGTATTCGTCAATTTTGGGGTTGGCCTGGGTCAAATCTCCAAAATTTCAGATCAAAGGCGCCACCGATCTAGAGATTTTCCCACGGTATCGAAAAACTTCCCAGGCTCAAGTGCCCCCGGGTATCAGACCAATACCCACCAAAATGTTGTTATTGCAATAAAATTAATGCACCTGTTTATGACCCATACCCACCTCACATCTATCAGAGTAATACCCACTACTATGTCAAAAAGCTTCTACTCTGTAGAGGTACTTCTTTCCATATCCCTTCACTTTTTAACTAGAGAATATTTAAATAATTCCTGCATTTGTATTCGTCAATAGTGTTCTAAACTCCACGGGATTAATTTTATTGCAATAATAACATTTTTCTTGTGAATCTGGTGAACCATTTACGTAGTAGAGGTGGATATTGGTCTGAAGGGCACTTGAGCCTGAGAAGTTTTACGATACCGTGGGAAAATCTCTAGATCGGCGGCGCCTTTGATCTAAAATTTTGGGGATTTGACCCGGGACAGCCCCAAAATTGACGAATACAAATGGAATAATTGGTTAAATATTCTATAGTTTTCAAAAAATGGAGGGATATAAAAAAGTGCCTCTTCAAGGTAGAAGCTTCACGGAAGAGGGTTTACAGTGGAGGTGGGTAGAGGTATGATGGCTGTGCTGGAGGGGGGTTTTTAGGTGGTAGCTGTGAAACACTTTTCTTAAAACGTTTTCCAGGTCTAAGCAAATGATTGATGTAGACCCTGAGCTTTATTATTGTCCATCAGGCGAGTAGCGTTTGTCAGTACCACTGTTCCTGTTCCCTCTGTAAACTCGTCTTGTCGTTTGCTTATGTTATTTGTGCGTTCTAAGTGTGTTTGCAGTCTCTTATTTAGTATTCGGTCGAATAATTTACCCAAGGTTCCATCTTTTTTCGGGATCCATATAACATTCGCGCCCTTCCATACCTTGAAGAAGTGACCGAGCCTTAGGCAGTCCCTGTAGATGCCACATATGATGTTCGTTAGGGCCGCGAATATTTGACCCATTGCTTCGTTGGGTATTCTCTCAGAGTTTATTGCCTTTTTAGGATTCAGGCTGAGGATGGCCTCTGCCGCCTCTCTCCAGTCTCTATTCTGTTTTGTAGCGTTTGTCTCTGGTTTCCCTTCTATTATCATTGTCTAGTTCGGGGTTGTCTTCTAGAAAGTGTTTATTCAACAAGTATTCGTAGTTCTCGTTCTCGCTTATTGTGTAGGTGCCATTGTCTCGTTTTATGTTGGCTGGTGCCTTGTCTTCCCCAAGAATCGCCAAAGTCTGTGCCACGATTCGTTATTCGCCCTGTCCACCACCCTTTCCTGTATGACTTGGAACTTGGCCCTTTTATACGCTAGTTTCTGGGATCTGAGTTGCTCTAGCAGTACTGACTTCCAATCCTGGTCGAGCTCTCTCTGCTACTCTTTCCTAGTTTTTTTTCGTTTTTTGTCTAGTTTTCCGTAGACCGCCATTTCACCAGTCGTCGATATCTTCGTCTGTCAGCTTGGTATGTATGTGGGATTTGCAGCAATTACTGCAGATTTCTTGCTTTTTGCTCTAGCTGTTAGGGGGTTTCTTAACCCCAGGTTTGTCTCTATGCGGCCTCCTCCAGCTGGCTTTTAAAGTATTCCCAGTCGGTGTGTTAAAATGGTATATTCTATTTCGTTTAAAACTGTATTTTTACTGGGTCCTGATTTTATACGTGATGTACTTATGGCCACTGAGTGCTTTTTAGTCCTGCTTGACACACCATCCATATACAACGATTCCTTCAGCCAGTGTCAGGTCGATATAACTTGCGCCTCTGTTTGTTTCAAAGTAGGTTGCCGAGTTTTGGAGTAGCCTAGTGTTGGCGTCACCCCCGGCTTGTCGTATCTTGATGTTATGTAGATGACCGTGTCCGCTCCGTCGACCAGCCTAACAGTTGTCGAATTGTTGTTGCCTAACTGCATGCAGCTTGTGATTCCCGTTGTATCTTTTTTGTCCAAATGTGTGTTTTTGTGCCTCCTCGACATCCATAAATGTGATAGTTGCGACTTTGGTTACTTTTGTACGGCTCTTGTACCACTATGACGTTTATGTTGTTCTGCATATGTTTCCATTAGGCCTGTCGCGGCTCGTCCTCTGTCTGAGTTAAATTGCAATATGTTGAGTTCCTTCATCTGTAGTTTATGTTGGTCCTCTTTCTTTCGATCCTCATTTTGTATATGGGGCAGTCATGTCCCACGCCATGTGTCTTCGCAGGTTTGAATTCGTCTAATGGTCATTCGGGCGCAATCCGGGTCTTCTTTCTTGCAATCGCGCCTTTTGTGCTCCCCGTCAAATCTCATACCGGTTTTGATTTGTTGACGTGCCCAAATCGACAGCACTGGTAGCACATAGACATGTCGAGGAATTCGTCTACATATATGATCGTTAGGTCCAGCTTCGCCCTCCTGGCTCTCATGAAGTGGTGGAATATTATTCGGGTACTCGTTTCACATATGATGTTTTCTTTGTAGCTGTTGCGGAGGCCAAGAATGAATAGTCGGAATGAATCGGATTCTGGTCCTGGTCAAACCTGGACATTCGCCATTGACAATCTTTGAATGAAAGCACTTGGTGGTTCAGGACATACTTTGGCTTTGGGCAAGTGCGATTCCGCCCATAAGGCAGAGATCAAGCGACTTCTGGTCCTAGCGGAAATCAACCGCCCAGATGTTTGAAAATTTATCTAAAAGAGGCAACTGTTCCACTGGGAGACCGGAACAGCATCTCTCCAACCACTGTCCTGGACTTCATTGGACAAATAGGCATGATTGGAAAAGTATAAATAGGCACGAGCCAGAATAGACCAATGAGTCGCAATGGAGGTCCGTTATATGCCCACTCATTTTCGACCTAACCTAACCGAACTCCCGACGTAGGGAGAATCTACACAATACTCCACTCCACAGCGCTCTAAAAGTCAGGAAAAATTAATTATTAGTGCTGAAAAATGACATAGCACTCCAGAAAACAATGTTCTCACACCAAAAAGGCTCGAAAATAGTTCATTTTGCTGTTATAGTTTAGTAAACGTCCATACGTCGGTGGCGCCCGACCAGGGACCCTAGTTTAGAAACAGGGGAGCAGCGTTCCCAGGAGAACCAGTGTTCGGTCTTTGTTACTTATACTATCATTTGGACACTGATGATGCAAAAAGAAAATAATTGTCTCAGTTTGAGTATTCAAACAACTGACTTGATTGATACCAATCCCACCACACACAGATTAAAAACCGCTTTATCAAAAACCTATTTCTACAATAAACTAAAAATAAGTATGGTTGTTTAAACCATGGAAGCGATCTCCGAGTGACCCTGTATACATCCTCAATGGGTGCTTTCTTAACTAAAAAATAAAATTTTAAACATAAAACCCAACTAATTATAAGTATATGAAAAATAAATTCTTTTGGGAAGGATATTACCAGTCTCTCGAAACAGTTACCAAAATCCATGTGCAACTCTAGGGTGTTGAACATGATTTTTGGTATGACTAACGTCCCCATTTTAAAGGAGAATTATCATAGTTTATACGTATATTAGTATTGAAGAAGCAAGACGAGGGAGCAAAAAGTACAAAAATTTTGAGAATTTACTACCAAGAGAACAATCATCACAAATTTACAAATATCTATTTTTAACATTTAGTTTTATTTCTTATTAATGAAAATATGCCTTATGAAAAATATGAAGTGTATAATATTATATCGAGGTTATATTCTGATTTTTTAAAATTTAATAATTATATAGGCGATTGTCTGACAAAATTGTAGAGAATATTTTCTTTAGCTATACACACATCTCTCATTATTTTTTGTTTAAAATTACAAGGCTGGAAAAAAGACACACTTATTTTTGCTTTTTTTTGGAAACATACATTTTTAAATCGTTTCTTTTTTAATAATTTTGTGTTGAGATGAAAATCCGAACTACAAAAATGAATGTTTCCTTTGATAAGAAGAACCAACAAAAAGGAGCATCACAATTGCCGCTTAAATAAACAATTGCGTTGCAAATATGTATTGAAAAGAAGTCAATATGCTCTTGGACTATTTTTTTCATATTCAGGAAATTTGGCACATTGAAATTAATTTGGCCATCAAATAATGAATAATCCAAGTTTTCAAATTGGGTGAAGTATAAAACGCATCCTGATTGAGGTCCATTTTTAAACCATACTTACCAACGTTAGAACGATTTGTATATCTTTCAGGGATTATCGAATGTAATACCACAAGAGGTTTCCCAACCATATTCCCATATGACACGAGAGGCTTAATAGGTGATAAGCCTTTTAGGATTATCGCGCTTGGTGGTAATACTAATAAATATAATATAAAAAAAAAAATTACATTTAAAGTATTAAAGTTTAGTTCGCTGTATAACCTTTTGAATACCACTCGATGTTTCAGGATAACCTAATACTTTTACCTGACACTCACGGCGTTACTAGCAGCATCACTCCTCCTTCAGAGTCGTGGTGTTGCTACGTAACGCGTTCCGTGACAGGTAAAAGTATTATCCGGTAATCCTGAATCATGTGGTATTACATTCGATTATACAACTCACTGTACATTATTCCCATATGACACGAGAGGCCTAATAAGTAAATAGCCTTTTGGGATTATCGCACTTGGTGGCAATATTTATAGCAAATTCTATTATAGAAACAATTTTGCATTTAAAGTATTAAAGTTTAGTTCGTTATATAACCTTTTGAATACCACTCGATGTTTCAGGATCACCTAATACTTTAACCTGATATTCAACGCGTTACCAGCAACACCACTCCTCCTTCGGAGTCGTGGTGTTGCTGCGTAACGCGGTAATCCTGAAGTCATGTGGTATTACATTCGATTATACAACTCACTGTTGCTGCGTAACGCGTTGAGTGTCAGGTAGAAGTATTAGGTAATCCTGAAACATCGAGTGGTATTCAAAAGGTTATACAACGAACTAAACTTTAATACACCAAGCGCGATAATCCCGAAAGGCTTATCACTTGTTAAACCTCTCGCGTCATATGGGAATAATGTACAGTGAGTTGTATAATCGAATGTAATACCACAAGAGGTTTCAGGATTACCGGATGATACTTTTACCTGTCACGAAACGCGTTACACAGCAACACCACGACTCCGAAGGAGAAGTGTTGTTGCTGGTAACGCGTTGAGTGTCAGGTAAAAGTATTAGGTAATCCTGAAACATCGAGTGGTATTCAAAAGGTTATATAACGAACTAAACTTTAATACTTTAAAATTTAAAAAAAATTCTCTAATAGAATTTACTATAAATGCCACCAAGCGCGATAATCCCAAAAGGTTTATTACTTATTAAGCTTCTCGTGTCATATGGGAATAATGTACAGTGAGTTGTATAACCAGCAAAACACCACTCCTCCTTCAGAGTCGTGGTGTTGCTGCGTAACGCGTTTCGTGACAAGTAAAAGTATTATCCGGTAATCCTGAAACCTCTTCTGGCAGTACATTCGATAACCGTCTTCAAAGTCACATATTTATAAAAATAGTTATCCACATCACAAGGGAGGGAATAAGTGTCGCATTGTGTCGCACTTCTTTTTTTTTCCGCGAATAGTTTGATTATACTCTAATGAGAGGAAATGCACATCAATCTGGAGGAATATAGGTATCTATATTGTCTGTATTTTGGTTTTTATCTACTACCTTTTATGGTTATGTTCAAAAAATAGTGTTGTCTACGAACAAATTGTGGTATTGAAATGGAGATCCGAAGCACCAAAAAGCCTCAGCTAGAACCCCTCCCAAAGCTACCAAGAGAAAGTAACAGATGCGGACCTGAAAGCTGTAATTTTTAAATTAACATAATATATCTCCAAATTAATAAGTGGACCTTGTATATTGTGTAGAGAAGATATTAAGAGAAGGCCTCCATGACTCCATCATTTGCTCCTGGATACCAACAAATGAACAGATCAGATTCAGAGTTTATCACTAATCACCACGAAGCTACCAAGGTATAACCCAACGCGATGTTATTTGACAGGATTTGTAATGAAGGCCTCATTCTCAAGATGATCTGGGTAAACATGCCACAATATTAGATCAGACTCTTCATTCCTCCGAAACTGAAACATCATGCTATCACTAGAAGCAGTGCGATCTTTAACATCATAGCTCTTTAAGCCCCCTTTTCTCTAAAATATTCCCAGTCAGACAAACACTTTACAGACTCAGTCATGGATAAACAGATGAGGCCTCCAGGTCAACCTTATCAAAACCACATGTGAGAGGAATTAAATGAAAAATTTTTGCTAGCTAACTATTTTTAAGCTTGCCGTTATCGCATTTGCTAATAATTTAGGAATTTAGTTTTTTGAACCTTTGCTTCTAAATCCAGATGTGAGTACAGTACTTCAAACAGGATGCGTTTTAGTTGTCCCACCCGGTATTTTTACGTACCACCAACCTCTTGTTCAAATATAAGCTATTTTTTTTTTATAATAATAAAATGGACACAAAATTCTATTACACAAAAGACATCGAATTAATAAACATTCAAAAAACAAACATTGTTGCCACGTTTTCATATTTTTATATGATTGTCGTTCGATTGCCACTCTTCGCCATTACAGGTTTTTTTTTTGTTTTTTTTTTGTGTGTATGTAGGGGCAGACACACGGTGCGGAGGGTTAAGTTATACAAATTCGGTAAGTTATTTATTGTGCTCTGGATAACATCGAATGCATTCTGCCAATTTACTGGGTGCGGTTTTAGGGGGTATGCCTACACGCTACAATACTGGCGTCGGTAGTAAGCTTGGGTAAGTCCGTTTATTGACGTCCACCGAAAAATTGATACTGAAACAGGAAAAATATTGAAATTGGTTTGGCTACGATTTAGGATTTTATACTAAGAAGGCTAACACAGACAATTTAGTTAAAAAATAATAATATTAAGACACAAACACATAAATAATAATTTTATCAAAATTATAAATAATTCATGCAAAAAAACACAAATAGATGCATAAAATTTGAAAATCTAACAACCTCTGAATGCTTTAATATTTGGGTTGTATCCTGTTCAACTGTAACATTTTCAATAGTGAGTTGTTAATTTATAAAAAAAAAAAAATATATATAGATATGTTGAAGCACTTGGTGTCTGCGTGTGCGGCGTGTTTTTTTTCTTTCAAAGGGGAATGTTTTGGCTTTGTTTGTCTATTTTTGAAATGAAAATAGGCATAAAAAAACCTCAATTTTGGGGTGCGTTCGAGATTCCTTAACCTCGAAATTTATTTGAAAAAGTTTTGTATTTTGTGTATACATTGTGTGTAAATTATTTGAAAATCAGTGGCGGCTCTTGATAATTTTGGCTGTGTGCAGCCCATAGTAGACTAATCGGTCCTGCAAATACTCCGCAAAATAACTTGGCGAGAAAGTCATTTGCTCAGTAGATGAAATTCGGAATTGGTAGAGGCATAACGACAGAACCTACACGTTCTTAGCTTTGCCTGGACCAAAAAGAAGGGGTACGCCTACCTGCGTCAGGTGTGGCCAAGTTATTTTTCGGGGCCTGTGCGATATGTTATTTCTAATGCATTCCATTATCACTTGTATTCAATGCAGCTACTAGTAATACCTTTTGAAGTGGTCAGCGAAAGAATTTGTGAGACCCCAAATTCAGAAACTTGGCAAAATGTTAAATTGGCGCGCGGTGACTTTAGTTTCTGAGTGGAGATACAATTTAAAGTGGGTCCTATTTGCGGGTGGAGAGTAAAACACAGAAATATTGTGGTCAATTAAAATAAAGTTTATTTTATTGAAATAAATAAAGCTTGTTATTAAATAATAGGAGTCGGTTATAAGTAATCTTATAATAAAATTATTCAATCTCTAATAAGCATCAATTAACTGTTTAGGAAAATTTATATGATTCCAAGTAAAATTTTAATTTACAGTTTGACTCGACTCACACTCTTGCCTTCACAATTTCTGGCTGAACATAAAAAAACTCTACTTACATTTAACAATAATATATTTACTGCTGGCCACACCTAATTACATGGAAATCTTATTGGAAATGTTATTTCACGTCGTGCTTCTTCTCTCAGTTAATTCGACAACTCTTTCACGCCGTAGTTCTGACTCTCTGGACACAGGTCTCTCGACTCTCGATTACTACTTGTTTCTTGATTACTCAACCGACACTGGTCTTTCACGCCGTAGTTCTGCCCATTTACCCGCTCTTTCTCGAACACTGTTTTCTCGATCACTGATTTTCTCCTGCCAAAGTTACCTTTTTATATCATTGTCTTGAATTTCTTTATTTTTTCTGACCTCGATTTTTCGTGGTTGAATCATCCGATCAATTAATGTATTTAGTCCCCTTTTAATTAATTATCAAGGGCGTCGCTAAGTGGTTTGTTAAGTGGGTATCATCATATAGGCTCGTGCATGATTTATTATTCCTTTTAGAAATTTTTCGGCTCCTTTGGAATGTTAATTGTTGAAAGCACTTAAAAAAAAGGTCCAAAAACTTTTGCTTTATTCACATTCCAATGTATTAGTCAATATAGGGTATCGGCTCTCAATAATTTCTGAATATCAATGTTCAGATAAATTTTAATTGAAGTTTCTAGTTGTGCTGTCTAAGTGATGATCTCTCCTGGGATGGTTATTTGGTAAGTCCTTGTTTTTCTTGATTGAAATTTCTGTAGTCACTGTAAATTATTGAAGAAAGCACATCACCATGGAGGGTTCAAGTGTTGGTTACACGCACAGAATATCACAAAAGGCGAATGGATATTGATTATTCACAAACTCTAAATAAATTCACTTTACTTGATGCATATCCTATTCCAAATATCGAATCGTTAGTAACAAAAATAGCCAAATATTCGATATTTAGCACCATCGATTTAAAATCTGCTTATCACCAAATTCCAATTCGAGAAACAGATAAATCTTTTACAGCTTTTGAAGCAGCTGGTCGCCTATATCAATTCAAAATAATTCCATTTGGGGTCACAAATGGAGAATCCTGTTATCAGCCAGTGATAGATTCAATAATCCAAAAAGAAAATTAACAAGGTATTTCTCATATTTAGATGATGTGACAATATGTGGGGAGAATCAAAAGTCCCATGATTCAAATTTAGCAAAATTTTTGGAAATAACTAAGAGATACGAGCTTACACTTAATCAAAATAAGTGTGTATATAATAAAAAATCTATTAATTTGCTAGGATACACTATTGAAACCTGATTCGAATAGCCTAAATCCACTATTAAACTTGCCAGTTCCTGAAAATTTACAAAGTCTTCGAAGAGTAGTGGGCATGTCTTCACATTATTCGAGGTGGATTCAAAATTTTTCAGATAAAATTAGACGTTTGATTAACTTTAAAACTTTTCCCATGACAAACGAAGTCAAACAGGATTTTGAACAGCTCAAAACAGACATAGCAAATTCCTTTCTTTGTACTATAGATGAAGATGAAACTTTAATCGTTGAAACTGATGCATCGGATTTTGCTATTGCCGCTACGTTAAGCCAGTCAGGAAGACCTGTTGGATTTTTCTCGACAACATTATCAGAAATTGAATGGAAGCATTCCGCTGTGGAAAAAATAAGCATACGCTTGTGTAGAAGCACTACGTAAATGGCGTTATTTTTTAATAAGAAGACATTTTAAGCTTGTTACAGCTCAAAAATCGGTGTCGTTCATTCACAGCAACATTCTAGAATCAAAAATGATAAAATCATGAGATGAGAGATTGGAGCTATGATATAATCTATCGTCCTGGAAAATCAAATGTTGCAGCTGATACTTTATCAAGGATTTGCGGTTCAGTTTCAAATGATACCAATTTATTTGAATTACATAAAAATTTATGTCACCCTGGAATAACAAGAATGTACCATTTTGTTAAAGTTAAAAATTTACCTTACTCTTTACAAAAAGTAAAAAGAATGACGTTGAGTTGTCCTGCATGTGCAGAAGAAAAACCTAGATTTTGTAAGAATGTTGGAGTTCATTTGATAAAAGCAACATCACCTTTTGAGAGGCTCAATATTGATTTTAAAGGACCACTACCAAGTTCTTATACTAAAAATGAATACATGCTGACTATAGTAGATGAATTATCAAGATTCCCTTTGCTTTTCCTTGTAAAGATACATCAGCTTCTACTGTTATAGAAAGCTTAAATCATCTGTTTTCATTATTTGAAATGCCAGCTTTTATACATTCGGATCGCGGATCAGCATTTATGTCAGAGGAACTCACTGAATATTTACATTCTCGTGGAATAACTTCTAGTAGAACTACACCGTATAATCCGGAAGAAAACGGACAAATTGAACGATATAATGGTATTATATGGAAATCTATCAGCCTTGCACTCAAATCTAGAAAACTGAAAACTACTCAAAGGGAACTTATGTTACCAGATGCCTTACACTCCATTAGATCTTTGCTTTGTACTGCAACGAACTGTACGCCTCATGAGAGATTATTCAATTATCAACGCAGGTCAACTAATGGAACGTCAGTTCCAACATGGCTTGAACAATCAGATTTTGTTTTGCTTAAGAAAAATGTACGACGTAGTAAATACGATCCTTTGGTAGAAAAGGCTGAACTCTTAGAGGTTAATCCAGACTATGCTTTAATTAGACACAAAAATGGAAAGGAAACTACTGTTTCTGTAAAACATTTGGCACCCAGAGGAGATATAAAACTTTTAGATGCACCTTCGGAATATAGCGATATTCAAAATCTCACTGAGACAGTATACAATGAAGCGGATCCTGTGTGCCCAATCACTAATGATTTTTCAGAATCCAGTCAATCTATGCTACCAGACGCTGGGAAACTCTTATTATGGCTGCGAAACACCTTAATCAAAATGAAGAATTGGCACACTTAAATCAAGACCATGAATTGCAACCAGAAATTGCAACTGACTCTAATCAAGAACAAGAATTGATAGATCAGGAAAAGAGAAAATCTGAAGATTTACAAGATCAACCACGCAGATCTTCTAGAAGCCAGACTCAGCCAAAGTATATCTCAGATTATGTCAAAAACTAGATTGGGGGAGAATGTGATATATTATTTCTAATGCATTCCATTATCACCTGTATCTAATAAATGGCTACTAGTAATACCTTTTTGGTATAAATACTATGTTTGTCACATTGACATTGTTAAATGTATGAATTAGGCACTAGCTGACGTCACACACATAACCTTACTTCCGTTAGGGGGACAAACAAAGCGTTTGAAAGGTCTATTTAACACACAGGCGCTAGCTTGGCACCAATGACATAACGTGATTTTTGGTGATTTTCGATAGGGGGACAAACATGCCATTGAGGTTATGTGTGTGACGTCAGCTAGCACCTAATTGTAAAACTAGTTGAGTTTTGCGAATAAAAGCCTCAATTTAGAAAGGTTTATTAACTACAGCCTGTACATAAATTTGTCTATTATAGTCGGATAACAGTCACTGTGAACAAGCATAATGTCATGTTAACCGCCGCTCGTTTCGTATATTCAATTTTACATCTCATCTTCCTTGGAAATTTTACTTTAAAGATGTGCGGTAATTGACATGTCTTGTCATTATCATACGAGGAAAGGGCCATATATTAATGACATAATATGTCAATTTCCGTACATTTTGGAATCTATTTTACAATTTTTTTGTAAATTAGCGCAATATCAACTGATTTGGCCAATCAAATTTTACATTACTACCTATGGGGGTTTCCAGGAATGCCTGATTCAATGGTGGTATTTGCAATGTTGCCAAGTTTACCGTTTCCCAGATGCCGTACGTAACTGAATTTTTTTGAATGAAATGAGGACCAGATGCAAAACCAGAAGAGCCGCCACTGTTAAAACTATTGCAAAATAGTTGTATATATACACATAAATAGTATTAAAATAATTTTCTACTACCTCTATAGTCACTATCTAACACCAAAAAAGACAGTAAACTCTTACACTTCCCTTTTATGGCTGTCTCGAACGCATCCCAACCGATTTAATAAAATATACCCTAATAAATTTGTTAGCAGAAAAATAAAATATATTACAAAAAAAATAAATTTGGGTATATTTGAATAAATCGTAACCCCTGGGGTCAGTGACGTGCAGCGGATAGTGTCGAGACAGAGACAAACAAGTCGTTACCGGCAACTGGGGCGGCAAAGGGCGACGGCGTGGCCGACGATGTCAAAAAGGGCGACCATAGCTTTTAGGCGACTGCTCAGCTAAACGTAATGTTGAGTGAGGGGCACTTGCGGACCGGGCCAGAGGGGGACAGATGCCCCACCGACGCCCGGCCGCCCCCGCGCTGCTGTGGGTTGGGGGGTAGCCTTACCATGCCGGATCCGAGCTGTTGCAATAGGTTGTTGCTGCCGCCCTGCGAACCACCGAACGCCGCCGACGTCCGTCTCGATCTTATCGATTGCATGCTGCTGCTCAGGAGGAACGGTACGCTACTGCTTGTGTTCGGCATTGAACCACCCTGAAGACAAAAAAATACAATGCATTTTATTAAATTATTATTTTCAAAACAACTTCAAGCAAAATACCAGCCTACCACATTCAATTTATATGCATTCTATTTGATATAAACTAATATTATAATGAATAAAACAAAAAAACATATATGTATATACTTACAATCATGTTTCTAGCCAGCTAAATGAGACAACATAATATTAAAAAAGTTATTAAAATATATATAAAAAACATAAAGCATTGAAAGGTTACATGTATTTCTATGAATAAATTATCTGACAATCACAAATTTGCCGAGTTTATAGTAAAATGGTACTCAGTTACAATTTGTTATTGTCGGATGATGATTCTTGCCAAATAATGAATTTATGAGGACACAAAACACCAACAAACAATACTGTCAACCAGTTAGACAAAAATGACTGTGAAGTACTTATTTTGTTAGATGTTATTTTATGAGTAGTGAATGATCAGACAAAACATCCTGGAGGTACATTAGTTTTACTTAGGGCCAAATTATAAATTTACTGTAAAGCAGCTATTCCTAATATCTATTTATTTCCAAGATAGACATGATATAACATATATAATATTTTAATTGTATTGTATAAACATGTTTCATATGTTTCTCTTAGTGAGTGTCCATCTGTGTACTTTGCTACTAGAAAGACGAGTGGTTGAAATGTTGAAACTAGGACATTAATGATGTGCAGTTCTTAATGCTCCAACCAATGTTTTTTTATTACTATTTTAATTTGATGTTTATCAATGTAGCATAGTTTCATTTTTGTCATTAGAAAAAAGAAAGTTGTTCCTATAAATATTAAATCATCTATTCCATTCACAATCAGAAGCAATATTCATCAAATCATTCACCAGGAGTTTGCGAAAGGATTTTCATCAAAAATCCAAGAACCCCTCAACAATTGTTGTGTGTCAAAACCCTGCCCTGAAAAATTGATCAAAATAATTTAAGAGTCAATACCCAATAACCCTCTTTACTTTCACCTGTGTAATGAGTAATGACCCGGGAAAATAGACCCGTAATTTACAATGTACTGTACTGTAAAAATTAAATGTAATCAAATAATCAAAAACTGAATTTCCTGTTCTTTAAATCAGTATCTATAAATTGAAAGATGATGGAACAAATTAGCATTGATCCAAATTAATCAAAATATTTATATCAGTACGTTCAAATTTCAAACAAGCCATCAGTGACCCAGCACGTGTCATCATTTGAACTCATAAATAAAAACCCGGAAAAGATCAATTACAAGGTTAAGCACCTAATTAAATTGGACCCAAAATGACAAAAATTTCGAACAGATTGCATCATCCACTAAAATGATGAAATTAGTTTTTGGAATAATATCTAGGTCGAGTGGTCGACCAATAGAATTGACTTATAGATGGTCAAACGACCGCCTATTGTCGATTTTGTTGGATAATTAATAATATTTTGGTGGGAATTGAAAATATAAAACAGGCGGTTTTAGGAGTGGAGGACCAGTTGGCAGTTCAGTACAGTTTGAGTTGAAGTCTACAGTACCTAATGAGTTAGTCCGGTTAAAATTCGCGAAGAGTTTATTTTATTTTCGTGCCTCGAGAAAACGCGTCTAAGCGAATGTTTGAAAAAGTACGGAAAATTGTGAAAGAAAGAACATTTAAGGTCGTTCAACATTATGTGCGTGCTCTAGCTGAATTTTGAGTAAATTAATTAAGTATTTTATCGAGTGACAATTTAGACAATTTAAATGTAAGTACTGTAGTGACTATTATTGTTTTTTTTTTTTTTTTAACTTTATAAATCATTCGGAATGATAAGAAGTGAATTGACATCGAAACTTCAATGCATACTAGACAGGTGACTCGTTGAAATGTTGAAACCAAGGACATTATTGTTGTGCAGTTCTTAATGCCCCAACCAATTTTTTATTTTTACTATATTAATTTGATGTTTATCAACGTAGCATAGTTTCATTTTTGCCATTAGACAATAGAAATTTGTTGCTATTAACAGTAATTGTCAAATTATATTATTAAATCGTTACACGCATTTTCGATCATCCTCCAATGGGTTTTTTGGGTTTTTTTGGGTTTTTTCAGGCTTCCTGGGGGTTTTTGTTCTTTTCTACAAATTTGATTTATAGTTTCTGTCTCGGTTTTTTCTCTAGCAAAAGTATTACAAAAATTATGACTTTTGTTGCAAAAATAAAATATCCTTACCATATAAAACAAGTCACTTGATATAAATAATTACACTTGGCATCAGTACACTGCACCACGCCTCTGGCTGGCCACCCCATATACTCCGTATCATGTAAAATTCTTCATATCGACAGGATTCTATAGACTTGGCTCATTCGATATGTCGGATTCTAAATTCTACATGGCACGGAGTCCCTGCATTCCCTGCTCAGACCTACACGCCAACAGCGACCAGCCGGGGACTGGAAAATCATCGGGAAATTCCTGATATTTCCTGTGAATATGACGCTAATTCAACTGAAAATTTTATATTTTTGAAAAAACCCAAAAAACCCAATAATGGTGGGTTTTATCAATTGAAAAAACAAAAGTATGAGAAATTTTGTTTGAACATTGTTGTTCATAAAGTACCATTAATGACCTTAAGTATTAAAGAATTTTGAATTAGGGTTTTTTTTTTCATGTAGTAATTATTGTAAGATTTTTATAAAAATATAGTTAGTGATTCATATAAATATACTTAATCCAGTGGGTGTGATTATGACTCAAATAATTATTTTGCATAAGCAGTCAGTAAATGACTTAGGAATTTTAAGAATTTATAGAAATAGGTGAAGGGTAGTTTTAATAGGAATATGAATCAGAAGTGTTGTAATGTATAAACTTATATAATAAGTTATTAAAAATAGAATAAGTAAGCCGTTTTTTTTTTGTATGGATATTTCCTGGTCCGTAGTAATGAAATTTGAACGCATGTGAAATAATTTGAATTGGGAAAAATAGAAGTAGCTGTCAGACATACAAAGATATTTGCTTATTTGAATTTTGGTTTTAAGTATAATAAAATATAATTTAGTAAACCTCAATAGTTTGTTTCTCTCTTTTGCGATTAAACCCCTCCACAATTTTATAGGTAGCCGCTCAAGGAAATAAACACCATCAATATACCGCTCGCCATTTACCATCTAACTAATCAAATAAAGTACTTGAGTGCGTTTTGCTACACCTGGTTCGAGACCTCAGAAACGATGGCGGGATTATACATACAAATTTTTGGAGGGTAGCGACAAAGCAATGTTTACCTTAGAAATAAATAGACCATCAGATGTCACTTAACCTACAATAAACTAATAGAAAACCTCCATAAAGTAAATTCATAATTTGGCCTCGTATACTGGATGTTTGGTACACGAAAATGTAAGTAGAGAGTGAGGAGACGGGTTCAAACGACATCGATTTGAAATTGGGTGAGGTGACTTACGTGTGACGTCGAAGGCACAGATAGGCTCGAGCCTTCTCGAGATACCGAGCTGTACCCGAACGCGCCCTGTGGGCCAATCAGATGCCGTGTTCAGTATCATGTGAGCAAATTCGATAATTCCGACAAAAAAAATTTTTGATAAAATTTTATTTATTGGAATGTGTGTGTCGTGTGATTTGTGTTGTACATTTTTTAGGGTTACTTAAATATCATTTCCGGCTACCGTTTTTTAATGATTTTTATTATTGAATAATATTACCAAGTGATTAGATGAATAAAGTATTGGCAATCAGACGTACATAAACATATCGCACTAGACACGTTTGTGACATTCACGTTACATTTATGTAAATATCTAAGAAAATTTCGCTATCAAAATTAGTTTTATGTCAAATTTACCTGAATACTATGTAAACTTATGATTTTTAACTGCTAATATTCAACTTCAGAATACAAAATTACCAACTATGTAGAAAACCTACATAAAATTTACACCTTCTATTACATAACATGGATCGATGTGATAGACATTTTATGAATGAAGGCGTAATGCAATAGGTATATTTTATATAGAAAAGCAAAACAATTCAATAAATTCCAAGATTCGAAATATATAAATGCGTTTACTGGGGAGGCAATCGTCGTCATATTGCCAATATCTGTTAATGCTCAGTGCACTATTAATTATTAATATAAGATCGATTTTAGATCACTACAACATAGCGATTTATAATTTCAATCGACGCAAAAACTTTGTTGCTAAATACTTTGTGATTACTCGTATAATGAAACGCGATCGATACACTAGTTAGTTTACTAACTATATTATTTATTTAAATAACCCAATTAATGTAATATTATTATCTGAGGCAAAACAAAAGCTGAAAACACATATATAATAATGACATTTATATAGGTACAGGATGCCTTTAAAATCAAATAAGGTTACCACGCAAACATATTTTATTTGAATTTTTTAGGAGAGGATGCAAAAGCTGTTGTAATAGAAAATATCATTTATTTATTTTTGCAAATAAATAATTGATAATATTACGTTAAACAATATAAAATTATGACAAAAGACATAGACAAATAATAGGGTAAACGAACAAAGTATCAATAAAAGATACTTTTAACTCATATCATTCGATATATAAAAAGGGGTTTACGGAACATTTGAACATCAAACTCACGCCCGAGTGTTTCCTGTGGTACATGAGGCTGCCGTGAGAACCCCTGCCTGGTACGTAACCATTCGAATAACCCTAAAGAGAAATGGTGTACTTCTGTCTCAAGTGTTCAATTATTCAAAAGAAGTATTAATTGTGTTTGAGAGTAATATAGTTATTAATATTTTTGATTATTAATTTTGCAAAATAATGAAAAGCATAGTATTAGAAAAACATAATTATAATGTGTCAAGTGTTTAAATGGATACCCAATGTTGTAAGTTTTGAGGAGTAATAGTCATTTAGATATTTCAAAGTATGGTTGCTTGGAAATCTAGAACTAGAACTATTTCTATGCTTTGCCTAAAATCTAGTCTATATGATCTAATTTAAACTTTAGATTTAGCTGTAAAGTTATGAAAAATATTAAGCTAAATCCGTAGTTAGAATAAAAAAATATCTATTGTAAAACCTAAAAATAAAATCTAAATAACTATTACACATTCCATACAATTAATAATAACATTAGCAATTTATGTGATGGAACAATTTACATTGCTACTGTTATCATTAGTTCACTAACAGAAATAAATCCCTTACAGGCTTTTGTATTCATTAAACTTACCGTCGGAGGAGACAAATTAACAGTAGAACCTCTTCTTTCCTGCGGACCAATACTTGAATGCCTTCTTATAGGCAAACCACCCCCAGGAGTTCCTCCAGGGGATGAAGCACAAGAAGGAGCTATACGAATCTTTGGAGTCATAAGAGTGTTATCCGATAGTCGACGATTAGGAAACGCATTAGCAACCCTTAAGAAGTTACTGTCTGGGGAGGATGGAGCTCCGAACCACCAAGAACCACTCAAAAGACCACCTTAAATTCAATTTATAATAACTTGAATATCTTATATAAATCATTATACCTGAAGAATTTTTGCGTTGCATATCCTCAGCACTAGAAGTCTTCCTTTGCTCAATTCTCAAATTAGGAATATTGAAGGGTGGTACGTGCATGTTGTCCGAACTGTACTGGTGTCTCAAGGGCCGATGCCTTTCGGGACTAGGCAAAGATAGATTGTCAAGTTTAAGCTTGTTTCTTTGATTACGGTCTATTTGGTCGAGCATGTCTTGCAGCACTTCAATAAGGACAGTGAATTGCTCTAAGTTTAGAGCTGGGTTAACCGTTTGTGGTATAAGATGGGGCATTACTTTGGTGGCCATCAGGCTAATGCTGAGACCGTACTTTTTGTCGCTTAGCATCAATCGATAGATATCTAGTTTGAAGATGAGTGATTATTATTGTGTAGAGGGAGTTGTTGGAATTACTTACTGACAACTCGTAGAATGACCATAGGGTCATTTAATCGGATTTCATGAAGTAAAGGCATGATTTCGTCAATTATTTGCGACTTGTCCAAGCGGTCAAGGCTGCGTTCTATGCAAGAAAGTACGTTGGAAACCAGCTTCAAATCGTTTATATTGTTTTGATAGATAACTTTGGTTTTGGGAAGGATGATCATTTTTATTGCGCTTTCGTCCAAATATTCAGATATGTTAGTGACAGCTATTAAAGCCGCATTCTAAAAATAAATCAAAAAATTCATCAAGCTCTTAAGTATTGGCAACAAATTTACCTGTACTTGAATAGTAGGACTATCAAAAGCATTATACAGCATTGGAAGTACTTCACTTTTGATTTCATCTTTAGGAGTTTTCTCTAAAATTATATGTAAATTTTCCAAAATTGTAACAGTAGCTTGTACTGTTTTTGGAGCGGCAAATAACTGCCTAAAATTGTGAAGGATAAATGTTTCATACTCCTCTATAGTGGATTCTTGCACAATAAAGAGCACAGGTTGTAAAACTGCTGCAAGTACTTCTTGAGAGCACATTTCTTGTCTCAGAGAAGGCCAGACGTGTTGATACCAGAGTTTCTAAATAGAAAAATTAATTTAATAAATCATAGTATCGAGCAAGTTAAATTGACTATTGCATCATGGTACAATTTATACATAAAATACCCTTTCCAGATAATTAAATCAAACAACTGTCGATAAAATTAAAGCCAAAATGAAAATAAAAATCGATTAAAAGGCATAATAAAAGTTTCCCTAGTGGCAAACGGTGGTTCAATTTCCGACAACTATATCAAAAGAATTTCCACTAGACTGAGATTGAATATCTGTAAGCTGGAAAATTTTTAATATTTCACTCAGGAAATTAGACTACTATTCAAACTAATCTGGACTAAATTTTAAAAGCGAAAGAAGTTTCTGCTATTTTCATTTACTTTGAAATCATATTTTTTCTCTTTTAATATAGTAAACGGAAAACAGTTTGAATAGCAACTCTATATTGTCGGACCTGGGGGTTTATGAGTGGAGGAGAATCAAAACTGAAGCCAAGTACAAAAATAGGAGAGTTTATTTAAAATAAAGCACATATCAGATATGGGCATAGGCACTAATAATTATCACAGGACTAAAAAGCACTATTATTACTGACTAACTAACGCGGTTATTTATCGATCTGCAGACTACTCCCTCATCTTCCAAAAATCATTATTTTATATTAATACCACGACCCTGGTGCGTGAAGCAATTACCGGTGAACCGTCGTTGACATTGACCTTCCATGGGTTCAGGTTCCTCATATAATATGATAATTCGTTCAAGTTGCAACCGAATGTTATTTAAACGTGACGTGGCGGTAATTCAACCGCCCTTTCGCTTGTCCAATGTTAGAAGGGTGGTTTGATCGGTCATTTGTTGTATCAAGGTGCGTTCCTTTTCCTTGCTTAATTTCAGGACCAACGTTCTCAAGTTGGCATGGTCCATCGTTCCTGAACTCATAAGGTAATAAGTTTCGTAGAACGATGAGTAGAGACCATTCTCGAAATGTTCCATGAAAGTCTCGAAGGGCATTCTAGCTTCATAAGCTAGGGCGTATAATTTGAAGTAGAAGTGCTTGATATCCTCGTTTTCCTGTTGTCTTCTTGTATTCAATCTGAACTTTAGTTTTCTTAGCGGTTGTTCTCCGCTAAACTCCTTCGAAAAGTCCGACCAGCCAATCAGGGCTACTGCTTTTTCATATTTGCTTAGAAAATTAATTGGGGAATCTAAACTTGGGTTGAAAGTCGGTGGTTCAATGCATTTAAGGGTTGCGGGACTTTTGGCTTCTCACGAAGCATCCTGGATTGTTGTGTTTGCCATTTTCCTGTTTCTTCCTGACTCCGGATTTATTAATCTCTCGGACCTCTGGGATTTGCTCTTCAACTCCTGGTCTGGAGTTGCTTCGATTTCTCCGACCGATACGCCGGCTTTTCTCGAACAATCACTGTTAAGTTTGGCTTGGAAAAAGGTCTCTACTTTCTCTTGCTTATTACTGGATTCAACTAATACGAATATTTTATGCTCGAAATTTTCACTCGGTGGGCTTCTACCTAATGAAAATGATGGGGTAAGAGAGCCAACTACCGTTCTTCGGTGTGTAGGAATGAAATTAATTTTTTTGATGCTATTGCTTCTCTCCTGTTTTTCCGAATGCGATCACCCAAAAAGGTACAAAATAATTACACCAAATAGGAAGATTTGACGAAAGGGCATGAACACGGCACTTCCACCATATGTCGGACCTAGGGGTTTATGAGGGGGGTGAGAATCAAAACTAACTCCAAGTACAAAAATAGGAAAGTGTATTTAAAATAAAGCTTACCACAAATACATTTCAGATATAGGCGTGGGCACTAATAATTATCACAGGACTAAAAAGCACCATTATTACTGACTAATTAACGCGGTTATTTCGTTTCAAAAACCATTAATTTATATTAATACCGCGACCCTGTTGCGTGATCGCTGATTATAACACTTACCGGTGAACCGTCGTTGACATTGACCTTCCATTGGTTCAGGTTCCTCATATAATTCAATAATTCGTGACGTGATCAATGATTTTCCTGAACTTTTTACGAGATGAAGTCGTCGCGTACAATGGTAGGTGTCGGCTCTTCTTCCAAGTTCCCTAAGCGTTGGCTATATAGAGTTGGACTTCTGATGACATACATAGCCTTGCCAAACTTAGTTCCCTTAATTGGTGTCTATGCGTTGAATTCGGGGTTTCTTCTGGGGTTCTGCTGAAAAATCGGTGATTGTGGTCTATTGCTCGTTCTGGAACCATAATGGTCCTTGGTTAACTTGCCAGCGATGTGCTTATTATACAATCCTGGGATTCAGTTTGTGGAAGGTCCTGTGAGAGCTCAACTATTTGCCTTTCATGAACCTTTAACTTATTTTCCTGTACGGTAGCTACTACTTCTTTCTTCAAAATCTAAGGTGGCGTGAGCGTCTCCATTTCTTAGATGGACCTTTCTTTGTCCAGAGTCAATTATCGCGTCATTTTTTAACAGGAAATCTGTTATTTCTCGGTCTGTAGACTACCCTGTCATCTTCCAAAACTATTATTTTATATTGATACCGCGACCCTGGTGCGTGAAGCAATTACCGGTGAACCGTCGTTGACATTGACCTTCCATGAGTTCAGGTTCCTCATATAATTTAATAATTCGTTCAACTTGCAACCGAATGTTATTTAAACGTGACGTGATCAATGATTTTCCTGAAACCCTTGAACCTTTTACGAGAAGAAGTCGTCGCGTAGAACGGTAGGTGTCGCCAGGGAGCTTAGACCCTGGGCGTTGGCTATTTAGAGTTGGACTTCTGATGAAATACATAGCCTTGCCAAACTAAGTTACGTTAAGTAGTGTCTATGCGTTGAATTCGGGGTTTCTTCTGGGGTTCTGCTGGAAAATCGGTGATTGTGGTCTATTGCTCGTTCTGGAACCATACTGGTACTTGGTCAACTTGCCAGCGATGTGCTTATTATACAATCCTGGGATTCAGTTTGTGGAAGGTCCTCTTGGAGCTCAACTATTTGCCTTTCATGACCCTCTAACTTATTTTCCTGTACGGTAGCTGCTACTTCTTTCTTCAAAATCTAAGATGGCGTGAGCGTCTCCATTTCTTAGATGGACCTTTCTTTGCCCAAAGTCAATTATCGCGTTATTTTTCAACAGGAAATCTGTGCATTCAAATTTCCCACAACAACAACAAGCAAACAAAGAAAAAAATACCGCAGTTATTTCTCGATCTGTAGACTACCCTCTCATCTTCCAGCAACCATTATTTTACATCAATACCGCGACCCTGGTGCATGATCGCTGATTATAACAAATACCGGTGAACCGTCGTTGACATTGAGCTTCCATGGGTTCAAGTTCCTCATCTAATTTAATAATTCGTTCAACATGCAACCGAATATTATTTAAACGTGACGTGATCAATGATTTTCCTGAAACCCATGAACCTTTTTTGAAAGACGATTGGGTTTAATTAACCGAATGGAAATGCCCTATTATCCTAGATACGACAATAAATTGCCCAAAACAACAACAAACAAACAAAGAAAAAAATACCGCTGTTATTTCTCGATCTGAAGACTACCCTCTCATCTTCCAGCAACCATTATTTTCTATCAATATTGCGACCCTGGTGCATGATTTCTGATTATAACAATTACCGGTGAACCGTCGCTGACATTGACCTTCCATGGGTTCAGGTTCCTCAACTAATTTAATAATTCGTCCAACTTGCAACCGAATGTTATTTAAACGTGACGTGATCAATAATTTTCCTGAAACCCATTAACCTTTTTTGGAAGACGATTGTGTACAATTAACCGAAGGGAGATGCACTATTATCCTAGATACGACAATAAATTGCCCAAAACAACAACAAACAAACAAAGAAAAAAATACCGCTGTTATTTCTCGATCTGTAGACTAGTCTCTCATCTTCCAGCAACCATTATTTTATATCAATACCGCGACCCTGGTGCATGATGGCTGATTATAACAATTACCGGTGAACCGTCGTTGACATTGACCTTCCATGAGTTCAGGCTCATCTAATTTAATAATTCGTTCAACTTGCAACCGAATGTTATTTAAACGTGACGTGATCAATGATTTTCCTGAAACCGATGAACCTTTTTTGGAAGACGATTGGGTTTAATTAACGGAAGGGAGATGCCCGATTTTCCTAGATACGACATATCCCCCGGACTTAGAAAGCTGGGACGCAGCTTTAGAAAAAACCTTATCATACAACATTTTACACGATAGGGTTGAAGAAAAAACTGATACAAAAAAATTTACGAGATGAAGTCGTCGCAGAGAACGGTAGGTGTCGACTCTTCTTCCAAGATTCCTAAGCGTTGGCTATATAGAGTTGGACTTCTGATGACATACATAGCCTTGCCAAACTTAGTTACGTTAAGTGGTGTCTATGCGTTGAATTCGGGGTTTCTTCTGGGGTTCTGCTGGAAAATCGGTGATTGTGATGTATTGCTTGTTCTGGAACCATACTGGTCCTTGGTCAACTTGACAATCCTCGGATTGACTTTGTGGAAGGTCCTGGGGGAGCACAAGTATTTGCCTTTCATGAACCTCTAACTTATTTTCCTGTACGGTAGCTACTATTTCTTTCTTCAAAATCTAAGGTGGCGTGAGCATGTCCGTTTCTTAGATGGACCTTTCTTTGCCCAAAGTCAATTATCGCGTTATTTTTTTAACAGGAAATCCGTGCATTCAAATTGCCCACAACAACAACAAACAAACAAACAAAGAAAAAAATACCGCGGTTATTTCTTGGTCTGTAGACCACCCTCTCATCTTCCAAAAACCATTATTTTATATCAATACCGCGTCCCTGGTGCGTGATCGCTGATTATAACAGTTATTGGTAAACCGTCGTTGACATTGACCTTCCATGTGTTCAGGTTCCTCATGTAATTTTATAATTCGTTCAACTTGCAACCGAATGTTATTTAAACGTGACGTGATCCATGATTTTCCCGAAACCCATGAACCTTTTTTGGAAGACGATTGGGTTTAATTAGGAAGGGAGATGCCCTATTATCCTACACCATTTCCAAATCCAAGCGGCAGTAAATGACATTAAATAACCTAAATTGTAAACAAATAACCAGCCTTAATATTGGTTGAAACGCCCTACCTGGACTAGTGCGCATGCACCAGCATGCACGGAGGACATTTGATAGGTTGTAATGAAAATGACCAGTTATGTCATTTACTGCCGCTTGGATTTGGTTCAACCATAGATACGACAATATTTTAGAGTGAGATTTTGCTTGATTAGAAGCTGGAAGTTGTTTTATTGAAAATTATTTTGAAGTCAAATATTTTATTAAGTTCCTATTCGAAAGGCCTCTATTATTCTACGCAAGCGAGACTCCCAAACAGTAAATCAGATTAGTTTTAACCAGTTTATTTCCTCATGATCGCCTTTCATCCCTTTCACCAACTTTCCTGCAAGCTTAATAACCTTAAGCCACGTTGTGTTTCATAAACTATGCTCCAGAGTCAACAAACACGAACAAGAAAATTCAGAAAGTTTCTTCTTTAAAAGTTACTCCTTAATTCAAACATTTATTTTGTGTTCGGCGAGAGTAAATTAAAATTCGATCGACCCGCGGTTTGATGAAATCGTTTGCCGTGTACAAACTCCGAACATTCAAACTAATTTCCATACGCAAATACAACTTTGCCATAATAATATTTGGTTTGCAGTATTAGATTTTTCCGGATAAGTAAACAAACTTCGAGTGATTACTCGAATTCTGTCTCGCTTTTTCCTATACCGTTAAAATTTCAATAAACGCTGATCGGCATTTATATAAGGAATCGTTTTGAAATGATTTAAAGTTAACACTTACTTTAGGAATGTATGGTAGAGCGTCCTTTAGAGTATTTCGATAAAAATGACTTTTCTGTGTGGGATCTTTCATCATTATTGTGTCCAGATATTGAAGAGCTTGAACCAATGGATCACTAAAAAGTAAGATAAATAAGAAACTGTATATATTATATTTTTCAACAAAACTTACTCAAAATATTTAAGAAGCATCAGCAATTGTGCTGTTGGTCTTTGACGAATATCTTTATTCACAAGTCGTACAACGCATTCCTGTAAGCCTGCTGGTACTCTCGGTAAAATGTTACGCAGTTGATCTTCATTCTATATAGAAATATGACTTTAATCATTAATTCTAAATGTGGAAATTAACTAATCAATCCGGGGTGCATAATTAATTAATGTTGCTCCTTATACATAAGGGTGTCAAATTAATTTGAACAGTCCCCTTTATGCTTAGTTAGGCAAAAGGTCCTGACTTTGGTATTAGATGTTCACTTCTGCGCCTTCCAATTCTCTCCACTTTAAGATGCTTATGGCCAGATTTTATTTTATACAGTCTGAATTTAATGTTGCCCGTAATAGATAACAGTGCGCGAAATAAATTTTAAAAGAAACAACCCTCTTCTCCTCATCATAAAGCTTAGTTAAGCAAAATTTGAATATAATGAGGTCGTAACTTCGGCATTAAATTTTCATTAAAGTTCATCTCTGCGTCTGTCTCTTCTCTCTATTCGAATCCCCCCCTTTTGCCCGATACAACAAAATTGCGCCGCAATGAAGCGTCGAAATATTAAATAGCTTTGAACGGTTCCATTTGTTTTCAAAACGAAATACGTTTAGCTTTTTGTTTTTGTGAAACGACGGATCTGTTATTTTTCGTTGAAATGTAATTGCTTGATATTTAGAATTTAAACAACGCAATTCATTGCCTAGAATCATAGCTATAATTAACTTTTTTTTGTAATATTTACAGACTGATAAAGGAAAGAAGTTTTCAACAAAAAGGTACTTTAATGCTAAGTAAGAATAATCTGAAATATCCTCTTCATAAATTGCATTAAACACCCCAGGAGTCAAACAAAAACTATGGTTCCCCTAAGTGCCCGGAGCATTTCGAGGACACAAATGCCTAAACCGTAGAGTAAACTACTCGATGGCTGTTTGCCTTTAAGTCAAGATAAGGGACGGGACAAGGTAATTTGGGATTACTTACAAGCTCAAATTGCTTCGAGTACGCCGAGCTTGAATAGTTCGCCTGGATCAGGGATCGGCCGTTGTTGAAAATTGCGCACATGACCATTCCAAGAGAAAACATGTCGCTCATGATGCTGCATTTGGATTGTTGTTGATATTCTGGAGCTAAAATTAGAAAAAGAAAGTGTCAGGGTGAGATTTTTTTTTTTTGTAGCCTGCATAAACTTTTCATTAATGGCATCCTAAATAAAAAATTAGCTGTCCTTCCAAACTGAGCGATGTCTCAGAAATACATGAGCGTCTTGAAAAAAATATGTGTGTGCTATGTAGTCTGGATGTTTTATTTATTTTTGTTAGAGCTTGACGTCTCATAAATTTTAAAACTGACGACCGAACAAAATAGAAGCTGTCTTATTGAATAGGTTCGAAGACGTTTCTGATTTGTTATACGTCTATCGTCTATCGATATAACGGGAGCTTACATATGTCAGATTGTTCATGATTTTCTTGTATGGCAATATTTGTATTATATAAACTAGAAATTCGGAAAATATATATTGCGAATAAGGAAGTAGAGAAATAAAAAAACTCATACATTTATATCAGTAAATAAAAAAGGATGTTCCTACATGTATAAATCATTGGTTGTATTTTGGTAGAGAAGAGATGTGCTGTCAAAATAACATACTTGGTCCACAAGGAGATTTGTACCGGATATTCTCAGATGTTGGAACTGTTGTAATTTCGACTAACGTTTTTACGATTCACCATTTTTGAAGGTGAATATTTACAAAACTTTCTTCGCTATTACCGTAGTATTATGGATTCTAGATGAATCATGCAAAATACCTACTAGCGGTTTTCCTACAGAAAAAAAAATTGGGAAATATAACAAAAGCATTATTTGTTATCTTTTGCTATAATTATAAGAATGTATGCTTTTTTTTTCAAACTCTCCGTTAGCATTTGCTTGGCAGCATAAATTTTCGCTTCCATTAACCTTTTTGTTTTGCTTCCGAACCATTCTGTCATTCTATGCACTCTCGCTTAATTAGGGCCGACGTATAAAAGCCCACTCGAAAATTTAAAAACGAGCCTCATTTTTTCCGAAGCAAAACGGATATGTGCCGCATCGGCGCCCATTCATTTAGCTGCGACACAGGATCGCTTTTATCGTCTCCGACTACTTCCGGCAGTGTCTGCGTAACGGAAGTCGGCTGACAAGAGAATTGGCGTTAAACATCCGACACTAGATGCCTCGGAACGCTATCAAAGTATATTGACTTAGGTTTTGTTAGACAAAAGGTGCTTTAGGTGGATATTAATATTTTTAATCAAATGGTTTTCCGGTAGAATTAATTAGTGACCCCTCTTAAAAACTTTAAGCTTATTCTGGAATTGCGGTTTCACGCACTTTTCCAAGTCTTATACTTCATAAATCATACATACTCAATTATTCTATGCAGACAGCTACTTTATCCGAAATTTGTAATAAATCTTCTGCAGTAATAGCATCTGTGGGACTTTCTGTGAAAACCTATTTTATTTTTGGAACAAAAATCCTATTTCAAAACTTAAGCCGTCATCCGACGTTTCTAGAGCAAGGCTCGACAAACCATGGGAATGGGCAAGTGCGTTATTTCTTGCTCAGTTTTTATTTTCCGTATTTGGTGAGCATCTTCGTTATTGGTTCGTAAACTTTTGATCTGTTCCAATCACGATGAAGCACGAATTTTAGTGTAGTTTGGAGTTACAGTGTTAATTGCAACTCGTCAATATGCGAAACTGATCCCGCAAGTTTCGCCCTTCTGGATTGTACACAATTGAATAAAACTTTCCCTAGTACGAGAAATAAGAAGGCCTACAAATTTACGAAAATTGTTCGAGGACATGTTACGAAACTATTCACACGAAGGCACCCTAAACAAATCCTTTCTGTATAAAATAATCTGAAACCAAAGAAATTACGAAATAGCTATTTTCGTTGCTCTAATGGGTTGTTACGTGACTAATTTGTAAACGTGTTCGTTAGCAAATATCCACCTGACAGGAAGTTGGTTTCAGTGAGTTTGTGAAACGGTGTAAACCGTGATGTAACTGTCGACAAAATCCATGTAATTTTCACGTGTAAAATTGATTTGTTTCTGATAATGTACTTGTTTACGGGAACATATCAGCTGAAAAAGTTTGTATTGTCAATGAAGAAGCAATAGACTCCTTTCTACTGACTATAACTGATATGGATGTCTTAGTTTTACTGCTTGTTCAAAACTTGCATCCTGGACGGCTAGGTAATTCAATTTCTTCTTTAGCTTTAACTGATTAATTTAAATTTAACTTGTCCTCTGCACAACCTTGCTTAGAGCTCAGTGCCTGGACCACACAATTTACCTAGAGGCGAATTTTGGACGGGAGCAAAATCTGCATATACTTTATTAGCGATTTATTTCTTCTTAGCGTTTGCTTCATCCCTTATTGCTTTGCATTTGTGACTCTTTTGTGAACCTTTCGCAGTATAATGAACAAACAAGGCATAAAGTAACCAGATGAATTTTGTAGGTGAGAGAAGATGTGTGAAGCGCCCAGAACAACAAATTAGCTCAGAATAGAATAGAATCGGAAATTGATGAAGGAAACTTATACTCAAAAAGTTTACCTTTGCTTCTTGAAACAGTCTATAGACACATTCTTGGATAATGAAAACATTGCATCAGTATTTTCCTGTCTTTTCTATTCTTGCAATTCCATTTCACTCTATTGCACTTACATATTGTTTTTTTTCTTTTGTTCATATGATTCCTTCATTTTTTTATAAATTGTTGATTTGTTCCACTATATTGTATGAAGAATTATTGTTCAAAAAAGCTACGAAAAAGGACGCGGCTATTGCCAACAAGACCAATATACAGTAATCAGTTTTTTCGATCGGTTCTCGTTTAATTCTCCCGTGTACTCAACTTCCCAAAGAATTATCTTACAAATTGGCGCCCAACGTGGGGCCACGGTGAGTTTCAAAACTGGTAGAGTGATTAATGTGTGCCGATCGCGATTTTTGTGTAGTTGTTCGACGAAACCCATGATTTTTTTTTTTGCGCTCGTTTGGTGCGGGAGTCATCACCGAGAAACAGCCGAATTGTGAACAACTGTGACGCGTTAGGTACTGCGTGAGTTATCACCGGTTTTCTGTACTTTTTGTGTGAATTATCACCGAAACTTTGTCGAAATCGTTACGAATACAAGTTGTTTTGTACATCGTTTGAATTCCTAACATTTTTGCCAGTTTTGTGTTCGACTTATCAACCAGAACAGCTGTGTTACGTCTGGTATTAGCGACAATACTGACTTTAAGCGTTTAAAGCGGACTGGCGTCGCGATTAATTGACTATTGTGCATCAAACACAGGTAGAGCCTAGGGTAGTGCCTCGTTTATGGTAGTTTTTATTCCATAAGAAGTGTCAAGGTGGGTGATTTGTTTGGTTTGAAGCGTCCAAACTGTAAGTAGCCTTTTATTTTCTTTTTTGTTCGGGACACTCGTACAACCTTCGTTTGAACAATTTCGCGAACTTATGGATTGTCTCGCCATTGGTAATGCACAACATGTTCAAAATCCTCCCGCTGTAGCTCACAGTGGTAATTTTGCGAAGTGTAACTCGTGCTTTGACGGTTCGTCCGATACGGACGTTAAAGCCTTCATCGATGCCATCGAGATTTTTAAAAGTTGCACAGACATTTCGGACGTAAATGCTTTGAAAGGTCTTCCAATGCTCTTGGACGGTTTCGCCGCGTCACGGTACCAAGGTGTAAAATCTACGCTAACGACATGGCAGGAAGCTATAGACTTGTTGCGCTCGACTTTCGGCCCTGCTAAGTTTGCCTACCGCGTGTATCGCGAACTATTCGCCCGTAAGCAGGACTCGAGAACCAAATCAGACATTTTTGTTTGTAAAGCGCGTTCTATCTTAGCACAGCTGCCTCCTGGTACGCTTGCGGAAGAGATCCAGCTTGATATGGTTTACGGACATCGTAAAATTCGCGAGAAAAATCTCCACGATAAAGTAGCGTCATTTAGTGAATTACTCACGCATGCGCGCGTAGCAGAAGAGACTTTTGACGTTTCCAAATTAAATCAATAATAATCAAGAAAACGCAGACTTACTCAATCTAACTCAAACTAACCCGTCCGCCTAGTGCGATCTAGTCCTCGTAAGTTGGCATTTTATTGCAGACTTACTCAAACTAACCCAAACTAACCCGTCCGCCTAGTGCAATCTAGTCCTCGTAAGTTAGCATTTTATTGCAGACTTACTCAATCTAACTTAAACTAACCCATCCGCCTAGTGCAATCTAGTCCTCGTAAGTTAGCATTTTATTGCAGACTTACTCAATCTAACCCAAACTAACCCGTCTGCCTAGTGCGATCTTGTCCTCGTAAGTTAGCATTTTATGGCAGACTTGCTCAATCTAACCCAAACTAACCTGTTCATCTATAGCGATCTAGTCCTCGTAAGTTAGCATTTTATTGCAGACTTACTCAAACTAACCCGTCCGCCTAGTGCGATCTAGTACTCATAAGTTTGAATTTTATTTAAAAAAAACTGTCAACCTTATTTTTCAAATAAAATGCTAACTTACGAGGACAAGATCGCACTAAGGAAACGGGTTAGTTTGGGTTAGTTTGAGTAGTCTGCATTTTTTTTATTATTATTGATACAATTTGATATGTCCCTGTTTTGCTTAGAGGTCGCCGTTGTTGATGTCGCTGTTTTAAATCTCGTTCTTTACATATGTCGCTCTTCTGCAATGTCGCTGTTTCAAGTATCGCGCTTTCGAATGTCGCTTTTTTGATATGTCGCTACTTTTTTCACATGTCGCTGTTTTGGATGTCGCTATTTTATTAAGTCGCTGTTTTGAATATCGCTATTTTGATGTATCGCTTTGAAAATATGTCGCCTTTTTGATGTCGCTATTTCAAACAACGCTCTTTTGAACCGCAGCCACTGAGAATGTCTTAATGTCTTGTATTTTGGAAAGCGTTCTATATTCCTCGTAGATAGTTGAGCGTTCTCGTCCAATCGCGCTTTATTCCAGTCGCGTTTTTGTTCCTCGCGCTTTTGTCCCACGCGCTTTTATCCAGTCGCGTTTTTGTCCATCGCTCTTCATTCCAGTCGCGTTTTTGTTCTGTCGCGCTTTTGTCCCTCGCCTTTTTGTTCCACCGCGCTTTTGTCTCTCGAGTTCTTGTCCCTCGTACTTTTGATCAGTCGCGTTTTTGTTCCTCGCGCTTTTGTTCTGTTGCGTTTTTGTTCCGTCGCGCTTTTGTACCTCGCGTTTTTGTCCCTCGCGCTTTTAGCCACTCGCACTTTTGTTCTTCTTGCTTTTCTCCAGTCGCGTTTTTGTTCCGTCGCGATTTTGTCCCTCGCGCTTTTCGTATCGCCCTTTTCTCACTCGCGCAAACGGCTGCCGCGCAAATGACACGGAGCCGAATGTTTTGTTCCTTCAAAAGATCCGACTCCGTTTGCCGAGCATAGCATCGTACTTATGGATGACACACCCATCGCAGTACCGCCGTATAGGATGTCAGAGCCCAAAAAATCGATTCTCGAACTCGACAAGCTACTAGAAAGCGACTACATCGAAGAGTGCGAGTCACCGTACGCAGCGCCCGTCGTCCCCGTGCCCAAAAAGAACCACGAGGTACGTCTCACGATAGACTACCGAGCCCTAAATGCCATCACCAGACCAGACAGATACCCAATCCCGAGAATCGATGATCCTTTGCACGCAGCTAAGCAAAGGGGAGCGGATATCATCTAATCAGCGTGAAGCCTTCAGATAGGGACAAAATTGCATTCGTTTGCTTTTTCGGTACCTACCGTTACAAACGCATGCCATTTGAACCAGTACTTTTCAGCGCCTCATCGATGGGTTTAGGTCAGGAATATAAGACGTCTCCATGTTGGCATACCTTGATGACTTGATCATCATGTCATCGTCTCTCGAACACCATTTGACCGACCTAAGGAAAGTATTCCTGCGACTTGCGCATAACAAGTTAACACTCAATCGACCTAAATGTTCATTCGCCTGTGAAGCTGTCCATTATCTTGGACACATTCTCCCCACGGAAAGAATACGTCCATGAACATGTTAGCACCGAAAAACGTCAAGCAACTGTTAGGATTTATCCAAACCTGCTCAGGGTTTCGTCGTTTTGTTGAAAACTTCGCCGATGTTGCTAAGCCACTAACGACACTGACCAAGAAAAACGATAAGTGGACCTGGGGTCCAAATCAAGCTTCAGCTTTCAGTAAGCTTAAGATGATTCTATGTTCTGCCCCAATCCTGAGACAAGCAGACAGCAGATTGCCATATATCCTACGAACGGATGCTAGTGACTACGCTTTGGGAGCGTATCTACTGCAGGGGGAGGGACCACATGAGAGCCCAGTAGAATATGCCTCTAGACTGCTGACACCTGCTGAACAGAATTATAATGCCACAGAGCGCGAAGCTCTTGCAGTAGTATGGGCCTTCAAGAAGATTAGTTTCGATCGACTTTCCTACATTCAGCGCTGCAGACGTCCGAGAAGAACAATTAGCAGATCCGGAAGTGGCGAAAATCATTAAAAGTTTGGAAGACTTCAACGGCCTTAATATCCACTTCAAGAAATGGGCAGAACGTGGATATATACTAAATAACGGAGTTCTGTATCGATACTCGGATGAAGCCCAAGGAGAACCTCAACTAGTGGTGGCAAAGACGAGTGTCCCACACGTGCTCACCCAGTACCACGATTCCGAGACTGCGGGTCACTATGGAAATGAGAAAACGTACCAGCCCATAGCATTCCGATATTTCTGGTCTGGTATGAGAAAAGAAATCATAGATTACGTGAGCAGGTGTCTCCAGTGCCAAAAGTACAAGGTGTCCCACCTTAAGCCTGCTGGACTATTGCAAACCTCCACGCAGAACCAACGATTTGAAGTCATAGCTATTGACATATTTGGCCCTTTGCCTGCTAGCCAAGAAAGATTTACATGAGTGTTTGCAATCGAAGACACAGCTAGTAGATGGACCGAGCTTGTTCCTCTCAAGACAGCCACGGCACAAGCATGTGCTACTTGTCTAATTGATGAAGTCATCCTTTGCCACGGAGTACCTCGTCGTGTCATTAGTGACAGCGGTACTTAGTTCGTCAGTTCTGTTATGCAGCACGTAGCAGAATGCCTCGGATTTCATCAGAACTTGATACCAGTCTATCACCCAGCTGCAAACCCTGTAGAATGGAAGAACTTGGACTTAAAGACCCAGTCAGCTATCCTCACAAACGAAGATCATACCGTGTGGTCATCTAAATTGCTGGCTATTCGAACACCGCACGCTGTAGTTCCACCGGGTTCACCCCGACCTACTTAACCTTCGGTCGCGAGTTGTGCAGATGATGCCAATCGTGATTTTCGGGCTATTGTCGAAAACGCGAACTACGTATCGCAAATCACACCCTACCTACTAAATATGAGTGACACTCTACGCAAAGCTCGCGACGTACACGAACAAACTCAAGATCGTCGTAATAAGTAGAGCGATAACAAGTGCCGTGACATATCTCTTTCGGTCAGCGACATAGTACTTGTTAATTCGCACGTACTAAGTAACGCCGGTAAGACTTACACGTCCAAGTTCGTGCTCCGACGTGACAGGCCTTACATAATTACAAAAGTAGTTACGCCTACTACTTACGAGGTTGCCTTACCTAGCACGCCGGAAACGGTTGTCGGTAAATATCACGCCTCTGCGCTGTATCCATATCGCGCATATGAAGAAGAGGATCTGCCTGCGCCTACGCGACCTATCAGAAAGCGAGGTCGCCTACGCAAGAAACCAGCACCATCCACACCACCTTCTGATGTGCGCCACAATCGGGACGATTGTGTGGAGCACAGGGGGAGATTTTAACAAAATTCCCTAATCCCCACGCCACTGATCGGCTGGTCCCCGGTATTAATGTCAACCTGCTACACGAGATTTAAAAGCTGATAGTGCAATAACGCAAATTTCATTCCGGTTTCTCTGTTAATACAAGACCAATATACAGTAATCAGTTTTCTTTATCGGTTCTCGTTTAATTCTTCCGTGTACTCAGCTTCCCTAAGAATTATCTTACAGATATAAATTCCTCGTTTGTGTACAACAAATAAAAAAGAAGCTATAAGATGATTATACTCTCTGACAGACACTATTAATTTCAATACCCGCCTTTCAACAACTGTTGCTACGTTATAGCACCGAGAAACTTCCGAACTAAACGAAGAGATGGCAGTTGCAATAATTTACACTTCACCGCAGTCAAGCAATTGCAAACTGGAAAGAAACTCACCCGAAAACGTCATTAAAACTTTACCGAAATAAATATCGAGTCGTTTTTGAGTTTCGCTATTCCGCCGCTCGGTCTCCGGGTACAAATTGGATGCGATTTGGCCTTTGCTGGGTAATTATGGATTGCGTAGCATTAGGAGGCTGGCTCCGGGGAGAAATAAATGGGTGAATAAATTAGCCTGAGGTCATTTTCGTGGATAAAGTTTTTCAAAGGAGATAACCAGGTAAATAGGTATAAATTAAATTTGTCGACTCGGCCAAAAAGTGACATTTTCCTTCCTCATTTGAAGAAGTGAATAAAAGAATATCTTGCTTTTATTATAATACAATTTATATGAAACGCAGTTCAACAGGAAACCTATATACATATACCACTCCTTCCTTTATTAAATTTTGAAGTTCTCGGTTTCAAATTATTCGCCGAATGTAACAATGCACTTTGCTCTCTGGTAATACAAATCGCTATTTTATTATTGCACTCCAAAGAAAACAATGCACAATCGAATAAGCCTCAAACCTGCAAAACAGTTTATCGTTTTGGAATATGACCTATTGTCAAATGCGGCTGGCATTGAACTTGGTGAATCGATTGGCTATCAGATGAATAGAGCTATTTGTGTTTTGCATACAAAACATCACGTATAGGTTCAAAATAGAAATTCAGCATTGCCCTTTTAATATTTTTCTTTGGTAGATAATTAATGAAAAATAAAATTTCTTCCCACAATTTATTTCCCTCATCTCAAACAGTTTAGAGAGCCATTCGACTTCGAAGCAATCGCTGCAATTTTAATTAAGAACCGTCGGCGTCGCTTCCTAGTCGTCTCTGTCAATTAATTCCGAGAAACCTGAAGCTTAAAACGTAAGAAAAATCGCTAATGTCGTTCAGGCCGTGTTGACATCAATTAAACTACTTTTGTACTTATGAAATGACTTGTAATTATCTTCTTTTCCATTTTGTTACGGTATTTCGACGCGCTGTATTACGAATAACATATTTTATATTTTCCACCTCAGATGAAAAGCGTGCTGACACGCCAGCCGGCGCTTTCAAACAAATTAGCTACGTTTCACTTGAAGATAAATTTTGTTAGAGGACGATATGTTGTGTGAAAAAGCAACGGATAATATGTTTTTTAAATGAGATGAATTTAAGCGAAGACATATAAAAAAAGGAAAATCATAATCTCTTACCAATATAGTCAAGATTCGGTTGAACCATCTTGGATAGACGAGAAGTCCAAGGCTGGCAAGGTACTTCGGCACCATCTGCTGTATCATGTAGTTTTTCTATAATATAAAAACATTTTTAATAACACGTAAGTAGTCGAAATTATTTCGACCAAACATACTAAAGACGCACTTGTGTACACTTAAACTTCGTATAGGTTTGCTAATTTAACAGAAAACTAGATAAACTTTACATCATTTATCGATTGATTCAAGAAGCCGCCTATCACTTAATTTGACCTCGGAAGCTGTGCCTGTCCGGCTCTGGTTCAAACTCATAGAGTACGCTTCATTAGACTGCAAGGGGAGTTAATTGAATACGAAACTAAATTATGTATTTACATGAACCTGAGTGGTTGTTGCCTAACAAACGATCAATTTACTCTAAATATAACCTATATTTTTACCTATAAATTCCATTCCAGCCAACTTCCAGGTGCCGCGTTTGGTCACGAGTATACTTCCAGGACACACGTTTTTGTGGATCACGTGTCCTGTGAAGTGGAGAAAGGCGAGCGCTTCAGTTATCTGAAATACGAATTAGCAGTCTATTAATTAACAAAGGCTTTCGGAATTTATGTGACTATGAAACACCGTTTAATGGTGATGAGGGTATACTGTTTATATTATCCCTTCTGTTCCAGTAACGGAATAGGCTCTTTAGAAGAATTCAAATAAAATTTTCACCGATATACTATCGTAATTTGTAAGGTACAATTGTTGTTTATTCTTTTGAGATATTTAGTTGTTGGGTCGTACAATGACTGAATTTTTGTAGTAGTAGTAGAAAGAAATTACAGATATACTTAAAGACGTCATTACAGAAAGTACTTGCTCTTTGGAATGAAACTAGGTCGGTCATGTAGTCAGGAATAATGAACAAAGAAGGCATAAAGTGACTCTTTTGGGTGAGAGATGTGTGGAATACCTAGAACTACAGCGATCAACAATACAAATTAGCTCAGAATAGAACCAATCAGAAGGGAAACTCATACTCACAGAGTTTACATTTGTGACACATTCTTGAATAATGAGCTAAAAGTTGAAGTCTATTGGGGGCCAACCAAAATATTCTGGCTTTAACAGGCTTTCGAAGCAAAATCTTTACGAAATTGCTGCCGAGAAAAAGAAACGTCAGCTAAACAACCATCGGATGAAAATATCAAGCGGAAAACATTGATTCTGAAAATTATTGAAATTTCACATACACATTCACAATATGGAATGAATTTGCCCCTTAGGCCTCAGCAAATAAGGAAATTGCTCTAGAAACTCCTCCACCTGATCCAGATGAAATTCGAAAAATCAAAACCTCCATTACCAAATTTCAGCGATGCGTCAGTTATAAAATTAGGCCAGCAGGCAAGAAATGAATAGCGGTGGTAGCTGGAAAGTACTTCGAAGTTATTGATATTTTGGCATGTCGTTTGTAGAGTAGAATCTAAGTTTTCGACCTCGAGGACCTTGTACTAACTTCGGGGGAAGTCGAAAGACCTAGATATTTTCGAACATTTTCAATTTTTGGTTACAACTTCTAAACCATGCGTTTTTCGTGGATTACACCTATTTATAAAGTTGAAGAAAATTAAATTTCTTTCAAATTTCACTGGTCATGCAGTAGTACCTAACCGAGATACAGTGGTTTAAAGATACAGAAAAATTCTCAACTTGTCAAAAACTTCAGCTCGACCTCAGTTTAATCCAAACATCTTTTCTTCACGTACACCCACAGACGATAAGTTTACTGTAGCCCTGGATTATTTTTTTTATTGTATCATATTGGAATATTTATTTTTGGAAAATAAACCTTTTTTGATTTTGACATCATCTGTGCCGAGCTCGGCTATCTGACAAGAATCGATCGTTCCGTACGTACTGTTTGTGTTTAGTTTCATCGTATATTATTTTCGTGGTAGTGCTGAGGTGCCGAGTTGATATGGCATCTTCAATAGTGTTAGAACGATGTTTCATGTGCGAAGAAAGTTTGGCAGAACGTGAAGTGGCTGTAGTAAAAAGCCTGAACATCAATGGTTACTTGAAAGAGTGGAAAAAAAAAGAAATTGATTTTGGCCTCCCTACAACTGCCTCCAAACCAACGCGCTCAGGTAGGTTATCATTATCATTTAATTTCAACAAGCGCTTCTTATGGGAAGAAGAGGTTACTGAAGAGTACAGGTACAGACAAAAACTTATTAAGTTACCCCAGGAAAAGCGTAATGCTATGGTCAAAATGACGCTTCTATAGGTAGCAAGCATAATTTTGGGATTTTGTCACGATAAATTTATCATTTACGTAACATGTTCTATCTCTTCTTATTTTCATTATAAAGTTGTATTTTTTCCATTTCAGAATCAGTAAAATAATAATTCCTAATAATCTAAAATATCCACAAAGTTCAAAATAGTACAAGTAGGTACTGCCATCTATCCATCATGTGCGTAAAATGCAAATATCTTTTATTAAATTACCAGTACTGCCATCTAGTACCTGATGGATTTATTTTTCAAAGTATGATTTTAATTATTTCGCATTTGACAGTCATTTGTATTTTCATTGAAAGAAATTATATTTATCTCACTTTTAGCAAATGGATATATTTCTGTCTTTCTCTAACGTCTGATTCTGAAATAATCAATTTTTGGCTTACTGACTTAATTAATTAACAGTTTTTTATTTTTGACATAACCTTATTTTAAATTATTATAATTTGTAAACAATTCAAATAATTCTAATGGATTTTTATCTATTCTCTTTTATTCCACGTGGGTTTTCATTGTGATTTCATTGTGAAGTGAATAGGATCTTTGGGGTGTACTCGTCTGATTGGTTGAACTGTTTAAAATGCAGTTAAATATAAAAAAAACACAGGATCGTTCTTCTGTGGGGTTTGGTTTCTAAAACGCTCTCTTTCCTCGACAGAAGTCTGACAGGCGAGTCCTTTTTATTTTTAATAATTTTTGCTTTGTATTTTTGGATTCTCCCTTATTGATTATTCAATATATTTTGCTATCAGCGCATATTATCATATCATTATTAAGTTTTTACCTGATAAATCTTATCTTATCTGTTCAGGAAATATAAATATTGGTAGTGCCACGTTTTCCTGAGGTAAGTCAATTCAGACTTTTGGACTTAAAAAGGTACTGCTGCTCTGGTTTTCAAAATCAATTGTTAGTGTGGGAATATTGGACCATTTGCTCTAAATAGAGTCGGTGAAAACCAAATTTGTGTGTCCATCCCTATCAACTCTTTATTGAATCCAGGCAGAGGCCTGAATTTTCTGTTTGACTCTGTCAATTATTATTTCAACTAAAGGGTGTAATTTTTTAATAGAAATCCAGACAGGTCAAAAATTCAGAAAAAAGTTTTAATTAGAACATCTCAAGAATTTTGACATATTCTGGATTTGATTAATTTCAACCCTAGGTTTATCTTGTAGTATCTATAGAAGCTACCTACTACCTTAATTTGAAAGGAAAATTTTGTCTATTTGGGGGAGAATCCAAAGATTTAATTTCTTATTGATTTACCTTATTTTGCTCATTTTTTGCTTGCCAGAGCTACTGTCAGGAAAGTAGCATTATGCTCAATCATTTTCATAACGAGCATTTTAATTTAATTTTGTTATTATTTTAATTTTTTTATTATCTTACCATTATTCTTAATTATTTAATTGTATTTTTTTTATAATAAAATATTATTTTTTTCAACTTGCAATAGCTGTTCATACCCGATTCTGTTGGAAGGAAGTGTCTGTACAACAATCGTTTTATATTAAATTTCAATTTCAATTTCCTTTGCAAGACACTCATTTTTTTGACAGAATTCAGGGATTTAATATTCCAAATATTGGTGAACTGCCTTATTCTTTTCTGGGTACCTACTCCACATAAAGATCACTTTTTGGAGTCTGGGTCAGCTAGAGTGACGTCACCTCAGCATTCTATCCTCTTCCTGGATACGGGAAACAAAACGAAGAGCTCCAGTTCACAAAAGTGAAACCCCAACACTTATTGAAGAGCTCCAGTTTGGAAAGGTACATGGTATCAGATTCACCGGAAAAACCAAGCTGTCAACACTAAAATTTTACAGAAAGTAACATCGACTGTTACTATATGTAACTACTTATATCTGGTTACTACACAACATTGTAAATTAAATAAAATTATTGTTTCTGAATTTTGAGTGGTTTCATTTGCACTTAAAGAGACTACGCGTTATCTTAATTTTTTGAATTCCACGACCCTAGGTTATCTTTTCTTAAAGTAACAAATTTCAGTTAATTTGTAACAATGGTCAAAATGACGCTTCTATAGGTAGCAAGCATAATTTTGGGATTTTGTCAAATGCAAGACAGCATAAGGTGATAGGGACCAAAAATTGAAGACCGTATGAGCATGTTGAATAATATGGACACAGACTTAGTTACAGCTAACGCGGAAAATAATTCGTGTGTACAGTAGATATATCGTCTATGGGTGCATGTGAAAGGGACGAGGATAAATGATTTTTATCCCACGCTTGAATTGAATGATGGTCGGGCTGCGGTGGAATAAATTTTTGACAAGTTGAGAATTTTTCTGTATCTTTGAACCACTGTATCTCGGTTACTATTGCGTTAAATATTACATTTGACTAGTGAAATTTGGAGGAAATTCAATGTTCTTCAACTTTATAACTAGGTGTATTCCGCTAAAACGCATGGTTTAAAAAATATAAACAAAAAACTGAAAAGTTCCGTAAATTTCGTGGTTTTTCGACTCCCATCAAGCACAGGGTCCTCGAGGTCGAAAACTCAGATTTTACTCCACAGATTACCCACAAATGACATATCAAAATATCATTAACTGCGGAATACTTTCCAGCAGAAAGTACTTGCCTGCTAGACTAAATAGAAATATCGGAATATAAATTGCATCATTTCCCTTTTGATCTGCAAGCAGTGACTCTAAAATTTCATATGTATTGGTAAAAAGCAATATTAATTATTGAAACAATTTCAGAAGCCCCACTGGCTTCCATGAATATTAAGCCGCTTAGTAATTTGAGACCAAAGGCGAATAAGGCATGCCAAAGCGTCCTTCTTGGAAAATTTTCTCCCACATAAGGGACATAATAATTATGATGGCTTCAGCATAAGGCTCCATTTTAATTGAAAACGATAACTCGAATACCAAAATAGAACTGCGTTGGACTGGTCCCTGGAAAATCGCCTACAAAAGCACAAATCAATAATTATCAAAAAGCTCGTAAGAACACATATTTTTAATCAGAAATTATGCCTTGAACATGAACTTAGAAGAGGGAACCAACCTATATATTAAGTTCTTTCACTCCAAAAAAAAAAAAAAAAAAAGACTCAAGCTGAAAAGTTCACATGTTAAAAGCACTCGGAGCCACTTTCAGCAAGGTGAATGCAACACAACCCGGTATGCATGAGGTTAAGTGAATTCAACCAACCTAAATCGGCTTTACTTTGTTTTGGCTTTGTGCTCTCCCTTTTCGCGATCCTAAATTTGAATTTTCCAACAAAAAAAAAACTATATTACCTGTAACAAACCGTATTTGTACTCGATATCCAAAAAATTATACTCTCTTTGTATCAGTCCAGGTTTTGATGGTGGCTGTTGTGTACCGCCCGGTGACGATGTGGTCGTTACAGCTTCTTGGAACGCAAATATATTGGCTAGACTAGCGTAAACTGGTTCTGAGGCGAATGCCAAGGTGTTTTCGCATTCTTCTATCGAGTGGAGTACGTGTAAAAGCTAGAAACAAATAATAAATATAAAAATTCAAATAAACTTCTTTTGGTAAAACCAAATTAATGCAAATTTTTCCCCAGTGAATTGTGAAAAACTGTAAAAGCAGAAAAAAAAATACGGAGGGCTCTACTAACATCCCACAGGAGATTTAAACCCAAATATATAATATTTAAGTTGATAACATTTATTTATTTGAGTAACTATGTATTTTTTTTTTTGTGAACGTACCTTAGGGTGCCTATAAATTTCCAATTCCTTGATGCCGTTTCGCAATATTTCGGTAACAGTCTCTTTCCTCTTAGGCTTGTGTAATTTTTCAGCACAGCGTTTTTCGAAAACAAAAACGGAACATTCCTGAAACAAAAAGGAATACGTTAACTCAGGCATCAGATTTATGTTTCCCACTAGATGGAAGTGAAAAACCGACGTAACTACTGTGTCAACAACCAGTTGTCTTTTCAAGAACAAGTTTCCCCGGGGAGAGGAGAGGAACATGTAGTTTACCTACCTAGGGACCGGTGTATAGCTTGACTAAATTTAGGTGTTTTATATTTCGACGTTTTTACACGAGGGAAATAGCTCCTCCACGAATCCCATTACCCCAACAGTAAGTTATTAAGGGCCTATATGGCATATGCTGGAGGCGCTCTTTTGAATCCCCTTATTCAGCATTATTAAACCTGAGAAGGAGAAAATCATTTTATCAGAAAGTGTGTGTTGAGTATTGATAAGTGTCAGAGTATACGTAGTGGAAAATTGGTCAGCATAAGTCATTCCAGATAGAGATCTGGAGATTGCAGTTGTTTCACTATTTGTGGATCTAAAAAAAAATAACTGTGAAATGGACTTTCGGAAGAGAGCGGCTGACAGGTTAAGACAAGAAAACAGTCGATAAGGTACCAGTACAACGAAAAGCAATTGAAAGAAGTATATCGGATATCACATTAAATAAAGAATGAAGGCTTTCACGGCCAGTCAAATCTAGTGAAAAAGTTTTTTCCGGGCCATAATGTCGTGGTCCATTAGTATTTCTACCCAACGTTTCGCCTACTGCTGCGGTAGACATCTTCAGAGGCGGTGTGGTAGAGGACGAAGTGTTCTCTACCGTGTTCCTCCGATGACTGAATTCGACGTTGTCGGATCTGCGTTATTTATATCCATTGTTGTGGGCGTGGCTTGTATTACGCTATTTTCCTTATCTCGTTCTCGGAAAGAAAGGGTCTTTGTTTTTCGGAGAACTGGCAACTAGCTTTTGTTGAGGTGCATGCCCTCTTCATTTCTGTTGAAGATGTTGTGGTGTTTCTGTATCTCTATGGCTTCTCTATGGAGTCTGGTGTGAAAATGTTTGGTTCTATCCAATGCTTGAGTCTGGTCGAAACGAATGACATAGTTTGTTTGTGTTGCTGATCTATCTATTTGTCCCTGCTGACAGTTCCTTTTGTGCTCTTTGACCCTGATGTTGATAGAGCGTTTGGTTGTTCCTACATAGACAGATCCACAAGAACAGGGAATTCTATAGACGCCAGCCGTTTCAAGAGGAGCTCCAGGATCCTTGGCGGATATTAGACTTTGCTGAATTATTCTTGTGGGCTTGTAGATAGTCTTAATGTTGTGTCTCTCTAGCGTTCGTCCTATGCGATCTGTGACATTTTTGATGTAGGGAATAAATGCTCTGCCTGCCACCTGTGCTGGTTCCTTGTTATTTGTGCTCTGTTGCTTCGGTCTAATAGCTCTATTTATCTCTTGCTTGGAGTACCCATTTCCTTCAAGTGCTGATTTTAGGTGTTGCATCTCGTCCTGAAGGTATCTGGGTTCACAAATCCGGATTGCCCTGTCAGATAGAGTTTTAATGACTCCTCTCTTTTACCTAGGATGGTGATTGGATTCCTTGTTGAGGTATCTGTCCGTATGCGTCGGCTTCCTATATACTCTGTGTCCCAGTTTACCTGAGGGTAATCTTTCTAAGAGGACGTTGAGGAATGCAATTTTATTATCCTTTTCAACTTCCATCGTAAACTGTATCCTGGGTTCTATTGGGTTTAGATGATTAAGGAAGTTTTCGAGCTCTGCCTCTAAATGGTTCCAAACAACAAATGTGTCATCTACATAGCGAAACCAACAAGTAGGTTTCTTTGTGGCCGTTTGCAGTGCCTTTTGTTCGAAATGTTCCATGTAGAAGTTGGCGATAACCAGGCTGAGTGGACTTCCCATTCCGACTTCATCTGTCTGCTCAAACAATTCATTTTGCCATAGAAAGTACGTAGTCGTCAAACAGTGGTAAAATAAGTTGTTGATTTCCTCCGGAAAAACATCTTTCAGATACTCTAAGGCTGATTCACTGGTACCTTGGTAAACAATGAGACGACATCAAAACTAACCAGAATGTCGTTTGGCAGTAGAGTGATGTCACTGATCTTTTTGATGAAATGAGTTGTCTTTAACATAAGAGCTGGATTGGCCAATCCGCGGCTGAAGAAGGGTGGTGAGGTATTTGGCTTTGCTGTAGGTGGGCGAATCTATTGCACTGACAATGGGCTTGAGTGGGTTGCCTGTTTTGTGAAACTTAGGAAGCCCATATATTCTAGGTGGTAAAGCCTCAGATTTGATGAGTTTCCTTATGTTTTCCGGGTCCAGTGGTAGTGCTCGGACGAGTTGATTTGTTTTTCGCAATATAGAAGCAATGGGATTGCGCTTCAGGTTTCTGTAGGTTGAGTAGCATTTCGGAAATTTTTGATTTATAGTCAGTCACGTTCATGATTACCGTTGCGTTTCCTTTATCCGCAGGCAGGACTCAAGCTGCGAATAGCTTTCCTTTCCTCGTATGACAAGTTGCACTTTGGAGATTTTGCTAGTCGTAGAATCCTAGATGTTTCATCGCGTATTTCCTCCTCAGTGGTTTGAGGTAATGTGCGTATGCTGGCTTTCACAGTTGCTATGAATGGCAGGTATTTCGGTGTTATTGCAAAATTGCCTCCTTTTCTTAGAACACTGGTTTCCGAATCGGTTAAAACCCGTTCGGTCAGGTTGACAACTGTGCGATCATTGCCTGTGGGTTTCGCAGTGTTCGATGGTTTCAAGGACTCAAACTTGTTTACCAGTTTCTTGGTTGTTTTCGCTACTGGGGCTTCCATCACGTCATACCTCATTCAGTCAAATTTGTCCCAGTCATGCATGCTTTTGGATAACCTTTGGTTTATCGATAGAAAATCCTTGTCCATAGCTGCTGGACAACAAAATTGCATTCCTTGACGTCCTCTTAGAAAGATTACCCTCAGGTAAACTGGGACACAGAGTATATAGGATGCCGACACATACGGACAGATACCTCAACAAGGAATCCGTTGTATTAAGCAGGACGTAATTGAAATATATTGTTGTATTGAATTAAAGTGCATTATTATTTATTGTGTTATTAGAGCAACGGTGGGATAATTACGCTCTATTCGAAGAGACTGATGTTTGTAGGTGTTTATTTATTGTATTGTGAATTGGATAACAACGTTGTGGTCTGTGTCTGTGTGTTGCAAATTTGGATCAAGTATTTCGAAAAGCTTTGTGAAATGGGAAAAAAAGACAAAATGCGGAGTAGTTCTTCTTCCTCTTCCTCTTCCTCTTCATCGACATCAAGCTCTAAAACTTCTGGGAGTGAGAATAATTATGGGAGATACAGCAGAAAATCCAGGGAAAAATCTCGAACGCAGTCAAGGAAATGTTCTTTGTCACGTCTAAGCGAAGGATACACACCCCTACCTAAAAGAACGGTAAGACAAAATAACTCCAAACAAGATAAAGTCAACGAATTGTTTGTGGACCATAATAAAAAAATTAGAGATTAGAGAACGTTATGAAAGAACTTCTTACACAAAAATCAAGTACTCAAACGACTGTGCAAAATATACGCTCAGATTGTATTCCAGAATTCTCCCCAGATTAAGTAGGTATGAGTGCAACAGAGTGGGTGGAAAAAAATAGACCAATTAAAAGCTATCCATAATTGGGATGAAAAGTTAACAGCATACCACATGCAGTCGCGCCTAAAAGGTCTAGCCAAGACATGGTATAATATCCTAGACCAATACGATCATACATAGGCAAAATGGAAAACTATTATTACGAATACTTTTCCTGAACAGAAAGATTTTCCGTCAACTTTGAAAAGAATGATTGGTTTGGTTAAAACTTCAAAACAAACATGGACGGAGTAATATTTTACAAAAATGGAACTACTTCGTGCATGTGATATTAAAGCGCTATACAAAATGGTGCCAAAGCTGGTAGATATTGTGAACCTGAGGAATTGTTTAGGGATAATTTATCAGCGCTAGCTTCCACATCGGAACGACCCAAGCAAAACACTTATTTTAACAAATTTGACAGAAAGTTTGTCAAAGGTGACCAACCTTTTGTTAGAGAATACGTCTCTAATGTTGGAAAGCCAAAAGATGACAAAAGTAAGTGTTTTAATTGCGGGCAGAAGGGCCATATTGCCAGAAACTGCAGTATACCAAAAGTTGAATGCACCAGATGCAAAAAATTGGGACATACTGTGACTAATTGCTATCGTAATCGACCTTCTAGTTTGAAAACAGTTTTAGTATGCGAAGCATCAAACCAAAACTCAGAAGGATGTTATGAAGTCACGTGTAAAGTAAATGGCATCACCTGCGACGGGCTGATTGATACAGGCAGGGCCGGCCCTACCATAAGGCGAGCAGAGCGGGCGCTCCAGGCGCCAGGCCTCGGGGGGGCGCTCCGACTTGTTTCTTGGTGATAAAGAATGGAAAGAGAGCAAGCGTGTGGTTAGCATGTGATTAGATAGATAGAGACATATCATATTACCATTACCATAAAGCCATATGTAATGTTTCCAAATTTTGAATCGGAGAAGATGGTTGATCTTGGACAGCTTAAGCTATCTCTACTTGATGTTTTTGACAGAATTTGCAAATTAAAGCAGTCTCGGTGTTGAGCCAGATGGCATACCGTTTGTTTTCCTAGAAGGCTGCAGGTTTCTTCTATGTCTCAAATTTTGTGTGATATTTTTAATATGTCATTGTCTACTGGTACATATCCAGAAGCCTGGAGAAAAACCTTTGGAATTTCAGTTTTTAAAAATGGAGACAAATCAGACCTTGGAAATTATCTAGGTCTCCTTGGTAGCCAAAGTTTTTGAAGGTATTGTTGCAGATAAAATCACACCCCACATTTTAAGAATGTCATTATCAATGGACAACATGGTTTCATGAAGGGAATATCCACCATAACAATGATCAAAATCCATGCTCGAGCAAATACTTCATTCATACATATAAGGAAGTCATTTGCATTTTATCACTATTTAATAGTCATAAACA